CGACGGATGAAAGAGCTGGTCCGATCCCACACAACAGGCAAACAATCGTCCGGCTGCCTACTTCGACGCCAACGTCTTGGGCTAAAACGGGTGCTGAGCGTCTTGCCCAATCCCGAGGACGCCACCATACCTTCAACAGGTACTACATGTCGTACGTTCACGACGATGAAAAGTATGCAAATCACTTCCTTGGTCATACATCGAGCGTGACGACAAACTAACCGCTCACTACTCGCTTAAGAAGCTCCCTCCGTTCACAGAAATGCCAACATGGAGCTAGCAAGGCCGCCAAAAACCGTTTTCCAGGGAAAAAAAATGCATAAATTCACGCTATTGTGGGAATTGAACTCACGTCAGCATTCCAGTCCGTTGCAGGGCGCACTAAGCAACCCAGTAGCCCAAAAATTCTGGACTAAAAAAAACGAAATATAGAATATTTAATAGTGTTAAAATATATCAATTACTTCAAGGGCACAGCCGACGTAAGAGCCAACTTGATTGGACAAGGGACTCGAACGCTCGAGTCGTGTGACGCAGTCCCATATCTCCCGGGGTTTCTTCCGTTGAGAAAGCAGCGCGGAACGAGCGTTGTTCGAGGGAGCGGTGCTTCGATCGAAGTTTACATCGTAGTTCGAAGCCCATCGCGACCGCAGAGCGACAATGCGCCCGACCATGAGCCTCGAGCGGTGGCTCGACGCGACGCGCCTCATGCTGCAGCAAGAGCGCGACGCGGAGATCGCGCAGTCTACGCTTGAGAACGATACACTGCCCGCGAGCCTGAACCCGAACGTCCTCCTCCATCTCCGCTTGGCATCGGCGACCACCGGGCTCTTTGGGCGGACCGTCCTGCTGCTCACGCAAGGCCAGAACCGAGAACTGCCTTCGCACCACTTTGGCATTGGCGACCTCGTGCAGCTAAGCGTCCCGACGGCGTCGCCTACGCCGGCAGACGCGAATGACGGCCTCCCGCGAGGGATCGTGACCAAGGTCGAGGAGCACGCGATCTCGATTGCATTCGAGGACCTTGACAACGCGGACGAGTACCACAACCAAGCGCTTCGGTACGCGACCGCAGCATTCGATCGCTCACATGCATGTAGGCTCGATCGGCTCGTGAACGACGCCACGTACCGCAAGCTGCACGAAGGCATCGACCGGCTTGCCAAGTACAACGACGGCCCGGCCATGAACATCCTCAACGTGTACAACCTCTTCGCATCGGCTGCTTGCGTCTCACGTCGTCCTCCTCTGATAGCGTCTTCCATGGCGGCGAGCCGCAGACCAAACCGATATCGCCCTTCACCCCGTCGACGCCGATGAACGCGTCGCAGATCGACGCGATCGAGTATGCGCTCGCGTCCAAGGACATTGCGCTCATCCACGGCCCGCCGGGTACGGGCAAGACGACGACGGTCGTCGAGCTCATCACGCAGTGCGTGAGTCAGCACAAGATGAAGATCCTTGTCTGCGCGCCGTCCAACATTGCGGTCGACAACGTCCTCGAAAAGGTCGCCGCGACCAAGCCAAAGTTCCGCGTCACGCGCATCGGCCACCCGGCGCGACTGCTGCCGCAAGTGCTGCAGTACTGTCTCGACGCCCGCATTGCGTCAGCCGACGGCACGGCCATCATTGCCGACATCCGCAAGGAAATGGGCGCGCTCCAGACCAAGATGGCCAAAGCCCGCAAGCAGCGCGCCAAGGCCAGTGTCTATGCGATGCGCAAAGAATGCCAACTGCTGCGGAAGGAGATCCGGGACCGCGAGCGCAAGGTCGTGCGCGAGGTACCGCTCTGTCCTCCTTGTCGCTGGCATGCCACGTCATGATGCTAGATTGTCGAGCACAGTGATGTGCTCTTTGCGACGAACGCCGGCGCCGCCACCAAGCTCCTCGCCAACCTCGTGTTTGATGTCGTCATCATTGACGAAGCCGCCCAAGCGCTCGAAGCAAGCTGCTGGATCCCGCTGCTCATGGGGAAGCGCTGTGTGCTTGCGGGCGACCATCTGCAGCTGCCGCCGACCATCAAGTCGGACGTGGCAGCGCGGGCACACATGACGCTCTTTGACCGCATTACGCGCATGGAGAAGACGAAGGGCGTCGTCAAGATGCTCTCGACGCAGTACCGCATGCACGAAGCCATCTCGAGTTGGTCGTCCCATGCGATGTACGACGGCAAGCTCGCCAGTAGCGACGCGGTGGCGACGCGCAAGCTCGGGGACTTGGCGCATGTGACGCACACGACCGAGCTCACAGCGCCGACGTTGCTCTTGCTCGACACGGCGGGCTGCGGCCTCGACGAAGACGTCGACGATGCACCCACGTATGCGTCGTTGTCTTGGTCGTCTTGTAACTGAGAGGCTCTAGGCACGAGGCATTGCGCATCTCCAAGTCGAATGCGGGCGAGGCCGACGTCGTCGCCGCGCACGTCCACGCGCTGTTGAACATTGGGTTGCGCCCTGATGAGATTGCCGTCATCACGCCGTACAACGCCCAAGTGCAGTTGCTCAAGCGTCTCCTCTTGCCGACGCTTCCGACGCTCGAGATTCGGTCCGTCGACGGCTTCCAGGGCTGCGAGAAGGAGGCGGTCGTCATGAGCTTGGTGCGCAGCAACGCGAAGAAGCAGGTCGGGTTCTTGGCCGACGACCGCCGCATGAACGTGGCGATCACACGTGCGAAGCGCCACGTGGCGCTGGTGTGCGACACGGACACGATCGGGAAGCACCCGTTCCTGCATGCGCTGGTATCTTAATCATGGTCGACGGGCGCTGGATTGATGGTGACTAGATGGAGCATTTCGAAGCGCATGGCGAGTACCGTAGTGCGGAAGAGTACTTGAGCACGACGTTGGACGAGACGCCCGCCAACGCCTTCGACTCGAACGCATTACTCTCTGAGCTGAAGAAAGATGCAAAGGAGGTATGCTTCGTCGTCGCCTTTGCAGGATGACCATGTTGGACGGTAGCTCCTAGCACCCAAGGCGACACCATTGGCCAAGCCGACGACCAAGCCGGCGCATGTGAAGAAGAGTGTTCCCACACCCGCCACGTCGACACCCGCCACGTCGGTGCATAGCCCCCCAACGTCGGTGCCGACGCCCTCGGTACCCGTGGCGACACCTCCACCAGCGCCAGTCGATACCCCGGGGCACGGACCGGCGAACGACGAGTCCGAGTCGGAGGACGAGGCGCCGCCAACGACGTCGAGTGCGTTTGGTGCGCTTGTCGGTGACTCGTCCAGCGACAGTGAGCCCAACGATCTTGGCGACGACGAGGCAAAGCCAGCTCCCAACGCCAACAGTCTGCTCCAGGACCTGCACAAGGAGCGGGTGGCTCGGCAAAAGGCGCTGGCGGCACCGACATCATCTTCCAAAACGAAAAAGAAGGGGAAAATGAAGGCACCGCCGCGGATCGAAGTGGCGCCGATCGCGGACAAGGCGCCGGACGAAGACGACTTGGCGTTTCTAGACCGCGTCGCGACGCAAGCCAACGTCTGCACCTTTGGCTCGTGCGCGCAGCGCATTACGCTCCTGGGCAGCGTGTGCAAGTTCTGCAACTTGAAGTTCTGCTATACGCACGGTCTGCCCGAAGTGCACGGGTGCGGACCGGCCGTGCGCGCGTTCGAACAAGCGCGTCATAAGACGGCGTCGTCGGCCGTCAAGAGCAACTCGTACCAAGCCAAGGAGAAGCGCAAGCTGCTGCAGAAGGCCCTCGACGAGAAGCTGGCGGCCAAATCCACCGACCGCAAGTCGACGAAAGCGACCAAGGCCAAGTCCAAACCGTAGTGACTCGACGTCGAAACCGTGGTTCTTCAACGCACTTTATAGTTTTTGCTGCTAATAACTCAAAATGGGCTTGATCGCAGACGCGAATGCCGAGTAGGGTTGGTAAATATCGTCTTTTTTTGTTCCATAATTGTACATTCGCAAAGTGTATGAATCGGAGCTCACAGCGCTCACGGTCACACGCTTCAAAACAGACGATTGCACACATCTGGGAAACGGCGTGTCGCATAGCATATGCCGGCGGCTTGTGGGTCGAGAACGACATTATTATAATAGTCGTTGGGTATTCAGGTTGAATAAAGACTAGCAAAGGAAGACAACTTGTTCTCTTTACGAGTACAGTGTAGTGGAATAAGGACGATGCCAGAGGACGGTTCAGTGTGGACGATTGAATCTCGATATACCGTTCAAAACGTCTAAGTAGAAAGGCTCGCGATTGATCCTTGTACCTGGGTGGCAGGCGCCACTAGAGCCAAGCCACCCGCCAAGATGCAGCTCCGAGCGTCCGGCGTCAACGTGCACTGTTGCTCGCTGCAACAGCCTCGTCGTTCGCTGCTACGAGACTCGCCACGACTTATCCGGATCGAAGCGACATCGCGGGCAGCATTGTATCGAAACAGTGCTATGAGTTCAATGACTGCGTCTTCAAGCCATGCGCTTAGTGCAGTCGTGGGTCGAGCGGCAACATCAACCAGTCGACACGTACGGAGCTGGACGAGGACTTGGCGAAGTGCTGAGGATATGCGTGTGCTAGAGACTAGCCATCGAGGAGGATGCATAATGGCGTTAGCACATGCATGCTGATGGAGCTCTCTGGAAGCGCATGGTCTCGTGCCATCGTAAGCGACAAGGCGTAGAGAGCTCTTGAGGCTACCTTGCGTCGCCTTGAAACATCGATATGGAGGCGTTGCGGGCCGCGCGCCACGCCCGCGTCGCCGGATTGGCCAAATCTCTGGCCAATCACAGGCCGTGTCTCTTAGAGTGGGATATTTTATAAAAATGACTCGGCGTTTCTATGACCCCGCGTCGATTTTTTTCGTGGCGGTCGAAAAAATGGGCCAATCGCAGCGGCCAAAAATAGAACCCGCACGTGATCGGGTCGCACTTAGTGCGACTTGGCATCGCTCGCGTTAAAAAACTTTTGGGGGTGTGTGGGGTCAGTCGGGGCGGCCATCGACGAGCATGGACGACGAGATCTGGTCGCGGACGCTGGAGCACATCCCAGGTAGACGTCGCCGCATGGGAGCTTCCTGGCGCATGAAGCTCATGGCGCCGACGTAGGCGTCGCGGGCTTGAACAAGAGCGAGGTGCGGAAGGACGTCAAGGAGGTCGAGCATCTCCTCGACGAGATCCGTAGCTCGAACGACGCGTGGAAGGACATGTCGAAGCAGCCCGAGATCGATCCGGCGGCGCCCGATGAGGCCGAGGATGCGGGCTCGTTGCAGCGACGCCGGCAGCAGCACCTCGCCAACCTGTATTTAAACAAAGCCATGCCGACGAAGAAGCGCAGCCGGGGTCGCGAAGTCATGAGCGCCGAAGAGATCATCGAGACGCTGCCGATCTGCCGGCGGGCCGTGCGCCTCACGCAAGCCGAGCTCATGGCGCTCAAGCGCGAGCGTCTCGAGCTCGAAGACAACTACCTTCGCCTGCGCACGACCTTTATCCACGAGATCGAGCTCATGATGAAGGAGGAGAAGGACCAAGAGCGCGTCATGCTGCGGATCCGAAAGAAGACGACGCAAGCAGCTTCGCGCTTGCTCTCGTCCAAGCGTCGCAACACGGCGATGCAAGATATCTTGACCGAGCTCGACGCACGGGGCGAGGAGCTTTTCAAGCTCCAGCACGAAGTGAGTCGCCTTCGCGCGGTGCTGCGACACCACAAACTCGACGTGGCCAAGACAACGGGGTCGGCGCTCGCGGTCGGCGACCTCGTCCAGTGCACGGCGACCAACGAAGCGGTGCGGTGCCTGGTTGCCTCCCGAATATCCCTCTCATCCCTTTCGATAGGGCGTCATTGTAGCCATCGACGAAGATGCCAAGCACGTCACGGTCGACATGCGGGATGAGAAGCAAGTCGAGATGGCGATCGACGACGTCGAGCACGCGCACGCCGACGAGCTATCGTTCACTCCGGACGAGGTCGCGCTCAAGGCCAAGTACTTTGAGAAGGCGAGCGAGTGGCTAAACGCTGAAGCCGCCCTCAAGGAGCTCGTCGAGAAGGGAACACTGGACGAAGACGAGGACATTGACGACGACGAAGTCGACGACGGTGACGACGACGACGAGGCTGTGGACGGCGACGCCAAGTCGAGCAAGGTGGAGGCCAAGATCAACAAGATGGACGACGACGCCGACCCGCCCAAGAAGCGCGCCAAGACGTCGGCGACCACGGTGGCAACGACCAAGCGCAAGACACTGATTCCGTTCAAGGGCTCGCGCTTGCCGGGTACGCCGTACGAGATGCCACTGCTCATTAGCCCCCTTGGGTACGCCCTGTCCCACATGGCATTGCCAACGCTGTACCTCGTTGCGTAGGGAGCTGCCGGGCTTCACCGTGGCGGCGGCCCCCAACGGCGACGGTGCCAACATGCAGTGGCTCGGCGCCAGCTTGCCCTCGGACCTTGTTGAATGGGAGAACGACCGTCTCGAGATGATGAAGATGAAAGGCGAGATTGAGCGGCTCAAGTTTCAATTGCGCCAGTCCGAAGGTATAGAAATCGTTGGGCGCTCGTGTGCGATCTCGGCTCTACCTAGTTCAGAAGAAGGACGCGCAGCACCATGTGAGCGTCCAGCTCGAGTCCATCAACAAACTCGTGTCGCAGGTACACGCACGCCGTTCCTGTACGTGTTGACGACCGTAGCATTTGGCGTCTAGTTGGAGAAGGAGCGCGAAGCCTCCAAGGACAAGTCGCATAAGAAGATCAACGGCAGCAAGAAGCGGGAGCGCCGCGACAGTTTGAGCGAGTCGGCGGGGCCGTCGTCGCCCATCAAGTCTGGCAACGACGAGTCACCGACCGAAGCGCAGCCGTCGAGCAGCAGCACCAAGGAGGACAGCGACCATGACGACGACAACGAGAACGATACCAACAGCAGTGAGGTCGTACCGCGCCGGACAACGCGATCCGGGAAGCTCACCAAGCCCGAGCCAGCTCCCGAGAAGGTACAGCATTGACTCTAGTCTTCTCACTGACGCAAGTTGCTCATGTAGGCAGCACCCAAGCGCGGCAAGAAGGACGACGCAGCCAAAGAAGAAAAGACCGTCGCGCGGCGGGCTTCAACACGAACCAACAACCCACGCGGCCCGAGTAACGGTGCCAAGGGCAAGGACGACGGCGAAGTCAACAGCAGCGGTGTTCGGCGAACCAGCAGTCGCGTGTAGGTCGCTCCGACCTCGTACTTGAAAATTACATAAAAACTTGCGTCCACTTGCGTCCACTCTTGGTCGTAGCTATTTGGCCAGAAGAGGTCAAAGAAGCCGCAACACGACCTGTCGCACCCACGGCGACTGACGCTACTGCAAGGTCGCTTCAAGCTGGTTCCAGACGACTTGTCTGTGTCGACGCGCCAGAAACAAGCCCATCCGCTTCATTACTTCTGCTTGAAGTGGAGGCGCCTTGGCACGCGCGTCGGCCTTGCGCTCATATAGCGTCTACCTCGCGCTCATGTAGCATCTACCTAGCGCGCCGATGCATTCTCAGGCGTCATCTGCGCGCCGGGCTGGCATGCTGCTGGACGTGTGCCATTGCCTGGCAGGCTAAAAATAGATTCGATCGTATCCGGATGGCTGGTTTATCCGGATGCGTGTGACAAAAAGCGGCAATAATCCGAACTCTGCGGCGAGGACGACGCGATGCCCTTCTGCTGCCAGTGCCTCACGACCAAGGGCTTCAACAAGTAGGGCGACGCATGCGCGAGGTGGATGCCCATGGCTCATGCAGGTTCCATGCGCTCGAGAAGGTCAAGGCGCGGGCGACGTGCAAGGAATGCGTCAAGGGCGGCCGCACGGTGCTGAGCCCGTGTGCCGAAGCCGAGTCCGAGCCGCCCATGACGCCACCGAGCGCCGCGCCCAAGTACGCTCGCTGCTGAATTGAGAGCATGTGGTGAGCATGTGCAGGAAGACGTCGGGCACGACCATTGACGATTTCGAGTTCCTCAGCGTCATTGGTAAGGGCGCGTTCGGCAAGGTGCGTTGACTGCAGGACGATGGCTGCAAAGGGCATGCTGCTGCGTAGGTGCTCTTGGTGCGACACAAGGCGACGCGCCACATGCATGCGATGAAGGTACTCCGTTTCGCAGCCTACGCACGCGGTTTAGTTTGGACTAGATCATCAGCAAGCAGTTCCTGGTCGAAATGAACAGCGTCGAGTACATGAAGTCGGAGCGCGAGATCATGACCAAAGTACTTGGTTGTCATCTGTGTACACTCTGTCATGTGTACTAGGTCAGCCACCCGTTCATCATTGGCCTCAAATACGCCTTTCAAACCGACTCCAAGGTGCGGAGACGATGCGAAAATGTCCTTGTAACTAGATCGGGGTAGGTCTACCTCATCATGGAGTACCAACCAGGCGGCGAGCTCTTTTCGCACTTGGCGAAGGAAGGCCTCTTGATGGAGGTTGGAGTCCACGCACATGTCGGATGCTTAGGTTGTGCGTAGGCCAAAGCCAAGTTTTACATTGCAGAGATGGTCTTGGCCATCGAGCATCTGCACAGCAAGGGCATCATCCATCGGTGCGTTCGCGATGTATGCGCTCGTCACCTTATGCGAAATGGCAGAGATCTCAAGCCCGAGAATGTGCTCATTTCCGCCGAGGGGCACGTCAAGCTCACTGGTACACGCACCTGATTTCAACAGCATTTCCAACGATTGAGATTTAGACTTTGGTCTGGCCAAGCAAGTGAACGATGTACAGATCGTCTATCGATTTCAAGACGCATGACGACAACATTGTAGGGCGACGAAGTGTTTACGTTCTGTGGCACGCAAGAGTACATGGTCCGCCGCCTCAATCACTCGTCGATGCACTAAAGTACTAACTAAACTACATTGGCTAGGCGCCCGAGATGATTCTCGGCAACGGCTACACGCAGGCCGTCGACTGGTGGTCGCTTGGCGCGCTGGCGTACGAGATGCTCATTGGGCGGTCGCCGTTCGAGACCAAGAACAAGAACCGCAAAGAACTGCATAAGAAAATCCTCACGGCCAAGGTAGACAACTTGTCCATATACCAGCTGTGCGATGGGTCCTAGCTCGCATTGCCCAAGTGGCTGTCGTCCGATGCACACTCGCTGCTCAAGTCGCTCCTCGAGCGCAACGTCGACAAGCGTCTCGGCGCCGGCAAGTCGTCCATGTTTGTTGTCCGCGGCGTCCAAGCCCTCAAGGCGCACCCGTTCTTCAAGGTTCTTCTTTGAAGTCTACTTGGGTTTAATGATTTGCTTGGTCTTAGGGCATTGACTGGAACGCCATGGTGGCGCTTCAAGTCGCGCCGCCGATGATTCCGGTCATTCGCAGCGAGACGGACACGAGCAACTTTGACGCAGAATTCACGGGCCTCCCACCCACGGACCTCGACTGCTCCGAGTTTGGCGGCGACCGAGATACGTTTCGCGGCTTTTCATTTTGCGAAGGGGACCGCCGCAGCAGCTTGGATGCCAAGAAGACGTCTACCGATGACGACGCGCTCGTCGAGAGCATTGCGAGCCTCGTCTTGCACCGCACGCGGTCCATGTCCCGCCGCGGCTCGATCGAGCTCAGCGCACACGATCCGCAGTATTAAACGACGACGATGTATGACAGCTACATTGTGTGTGGTCTACAAGAAGAGGACAATTTGTCCATACTTGCCATCAACAACTTGTCCTCGCCGTTTTCAGCCAATCATACGCATGCAATTCGGTGCCGTCTTCAACGCACTGCGATCAATGCGCGAGACCCTCCGTAAGCTCCTGCGGTATTAGAGATGAGCGGGTTAGGTCGTCGTTGACCACGCGAGGTACTCGTGATACGACTGATGGTCTTGGGCCTCAGTGAGACTGTCGAGAGTGGCACGCCTTGTCGGTGGATGCGTCCTGCTGCAGGCGCACGAGGTGTGGGGTGTCGTCGGTGTGTCCCCTTCTTCTCTTTCCAGTCGCGTTGACGTCGAGCTGGTTCTTCACCGAGATGCATCATCAAGTGGAAGAGAGCGACCCCGTTGCTGACGCCGCCTCGGTCGCGCCAGCGTCTCGAGGAGCTCGGCAAACAGCGTACCTTTGCCATCGCGACAGCTGAAGGACTTGACGGAGCTCAGCCTCACACCCGGTCGGCGACAGAAGAGTGAGACGCAGCTTCGCCATGGCCCAGCGACTGAAGCCGAAGACGAAGATTGCCGTCGTCGCTATGTCTGCAAAGTCTTTGCGTCACCAAGAGAACGGCCTCTCTCCAGGACACAGAGGCCGAAATCAAGAAGGGGTAGGTTAAATTAAAGTTTAGCATTGGAAAAGCCGGATGATTTCGCGCACCGGCGAGCGGCACACGGGACACTGCTTCACGGGCGCCGCGAGCAGGTGGTCGGCGCAGCGCATGCAGACGGCGTTGTGTCCGCAGGGTACGCAGACCGCGCTCTGGGGGCCGTCAAAGCACACGACGCACTCGCGCTGGCGGCCCGCCTCGAGCAACCCGCTCTCGTCCAACGGCGGGGCGCTGGCGGCAACGGCCTCGTTGACCGGCGACAAGAGCGGCGCCGACGGCACAACGTCTCGTGGTACCTCGGGCTCGGGCAGAGCTAGCTGCTTTGGCTCCGGGAGGCTCTGGTGGCGCCACGGCACTTGGAGCATGGACGACGACTCGATGACCGGTGACTTGGCGTCCGAGTGGCTGCGACGGCTTCGCCACGGCAGTTGCAGCACCGACGGCGTCGCCGCGGTGGACGGTGCAGCATGTCCTACTGCGTTCGACTCGGACAACGTCAGCTCCGAGAGGCTGCGGCGGGAGCGCCGGGGCACTTGTTGCAGCACAGAAGGGGTCTCGGTGGCGTGTGGGGACGGTGTCGCTGCAGCGAGCGGCACGAGCAGAGTGTCGGGGACGTCCTTGGTCGTCTACGCAGAGGCATGCGTCAATAGTGTTGAGCGATATGTCGACGTACGCTATAGGTCTCGAAGAAGGTCGACCACGACGCCAAGCCATTTGCATCCAAGGCCGCGCACTCGAGCTTGCGCATGACTGTGGGCTGGTCTTCGTGCGTTCGGTGGGCGCCGGCAAAGTAGAACGAATGATCCTTGTTACCAAACGGTCGCTGCGTGCCTGGCATCACCATTGGCGTCCCAAGCTTGTACACGACCGTCGAGCTACACGTCTATGTTAGTAGGCTTCCTATCATGGCTTTGGCGAGCACATCGGCACGGGCGGGAGGCGGCTGCCTTGCTTGGCGTCGAAAAAAGACAGTTCAAGGGACGTCGAGCGCACGTCGGTGCGCAGCACGATGACAAACCTAGGCGATGTTGAGCGCAAGAGCGTGGGCGTGACGGTGCGTACCGCAGCTTCCACGGGCGGAGACCTAGCGGCATCTTGACAACCGACGACTCGACGCTCTCGTAGAGCCATCCGCGGTAGAGGCTGCAGCGCTAGTTCCCGATTACTGCCATGAGGTCGAGCAAGTATATGCAACTCTGTACCTCTTCCAGAAGCCGAGCGCACTCTTCAAAGCTCGCCCAGTGGTCGTGCTCGAGGCATGCAATACGCGCAACGCTCAGCGCCGTGAGCTGGCGCTGGTTGCGCACGTACGGGTCAAAGTACGGCACGGCGAGGAGGAGCTGGACGATCTCGGGGTGGCCGGCGGCTGCGGCGCAGTGCAGCGCCGTGGCTCCCGTGTTGTTGACGGCGCCGACGAGGGCACCCACCGCGATGAGGATCTTGGCGCAGTCGACGTAGCCTTTGCCGCACGCCACGAGGAGCGGTGTGCTGCCTGTGGTCTCGTCGCGCTGCTCGAGGTACGCGCTTGTCGCGGGTGTCATTCTCGTGACAAAGTCCTGCAGCACCTTGACAACGCCGTACGCGGCGGCAACCAGCGGAATCTTCTCCGGGTCAAAGAACTCGACGCGGAAGGCGTCCTCCTTGCGCGCTTGAAGGTCATCGACGCTGGCGTCGAGCAAGGCGAGCTTCTTGGCGTAGAGCTGCGCGCCGTAGGCGTCCTGGTCGCTGAGACCCGCCTGCTTGGAGCGGAGCTTGCTGCGCTTGAGCTTGAGCGATCCGAGGCTCTTCTCGAGGCTCTCGAGCGCCTGCAGACTGTGCGAAGCCTGGCGCTGTAGCATCATTCGACCAATTAGAAAGTGTGCTGCAAGACCTTCTGGAAGGGCGTGTCGCATAAATGACAGGATTTAGTGTTGCACATGGCTCTGATATCCATTTCCATCCAGTATGGTCGTCGGCATTGTACGACACTATTTCATGATTGCAATGGGACAGTAATACATGGATCTAGTAGACGGGTCAAATAGTCACCGAGGAAGAATCCCCCAGGATTTATTCAAGTCGAGTTCCGTTCATTGACCTCGCACTAGGCGTCGAGAAAGCTTTTGCTGCGCTGCGCCAGCAGCCAGCTCACTGGACATACTCTCTCTTCGAGGACGTTTGGCGACCGCAAAGAGCGAACCTGCACCGACGTTATCCGGTTGACACCAAGCACTCCCGTTGCCACGTGGCTTTATCCGGCTCATCAAGTCCAGGATCAAGAGGCAACATAATGCGTCAGCGACCATCGTCATGCTGGGCTGTGTTGGCTTTCATTGCTCGTTTGTTGGAAATGGAAATGATGGTCGCAACGTAGATGCTTCTCTAGAGAATGGCATGAGCGCTCACCAGATCATCCTGCGTACTAGTATCCCATTACCTCCAGCTTCGATGAGGGAGCCTCAGAAAAAGCCTCGGCGTAGCCTCTCGCGAACGCTGCTAGCTTGAAAGCAGCTCTCTAGAGCGACCATCACCCGCAAGCAAGTGCGATCTCGTTCCAGCAGCCGAGTTCTCATGACGCATCATGCATGGCAGCACCCTTGTCGCATTGACAAGCATCCCTTCGCGATCAAAGTAGCTTGATCGCAGATCCAGTGCGCCGTCTACCAGTGGCCACGTTCGTCGTTTAGCTTCATCGCTCTGAGCCAGTTGAGGGACCAATGATCGACGCTACAACCCCGTGAAAATATGTCCCTCAATCATATAATCCCATCGCTCGGTGGGCCGAGGAGCTAGACTCTGAAGTGCATGCCCGACACCCGCTGTCATACCTCGCAAGTGTTTACTGCAACGTGGCTTTTCATGTCCACGACGCGAGGCTAATGCAAGTACCAAGTCTACCTTGGACTTGTTTCGCTGCATTTAGAAGATAGCGACACCATCGTTGTTGGAGCGAATTTATGCTGAAGTCCTCGCGCGGCTGGGCGAGGTCACGGACCGACGAATTAACGGACAAACGATGAACTAGGTACGACGGTCTGAACAACCCGCGAGGGGTATGACGACGGTTGCCGCACAATCTGCATAAAGGCATGCATATCGGGGTTCGAAGCGGCGATCTGGCATTTTGGCCAATCAAACATCGTTTCCGTTCAGGATCCCGTGAGATTGGCCAAAACCAAAATAAATACGGTGGCCGGCGCTTCCCGTGGTGGCAGAATCCGAGACGACGAGATGGACGCCGACGCCCCGCGTCGCCGATCGATGCCATCGCGCGAGGCGCGCAACACCGTGACCAACTACGCGTGCGACTCACCGACGTACCTTGACTCGGCCGAGCGCCGGGCGAAGCGGACCAAGCCCAACGACCCGCTGCCCAGCGAGACCGAGCCCACGACGGCGCCGGCCAGGGGCGACGACGACTCGGCGATCGAAGTGGGCAACTGCGTCCTCGTCGACTTGGGCCGCGACTACGAAGGCGTCGCTCTTGTCCGCAGCATGCAGTCGCTGGCGCGCCCGTCGTCAGCGACCACATTTGTCGGGCAGTGGTTCTATCGGGCCGAGGACATTGCGCCAGAAATTCTGGAAAAGCTGGGGACGCCCGTGCTGCACCACGAAGTGTTTCTCTCGACGCAAACCGACCGGAATCTGCTCAAGCACGTGCGCGGAACGTGCAAGGTCGTGTCCGCGCTCGACTTTATGGACCGGCTCAACGTCATTCGCCAAGGCCACGAGATCGACTCGGACGACGACGAAAAGACGTTCATTTGCCGCTTCCGGTACAACCCCGAGAACCTTCTCGAGCCTTTTGCGGCGCTTCAAGAGCACGAGATCCGCTTCAACTACTTGGCGGCTGCTAAGATTGGCACATCCCACCAGGTCGGGCCCCTGCCCCGCGTCGAGAATAGCCTCCGCGACCGCTACCTCGCCGAGAGCAGCAAGGACCGACCGCACCCGCGCGCACTGCACATGTGGTCGCCCTCGACCATGGAGGCCCACCCGTTCCTGTTCAAAAAGTACCTTGGCATGCTGGATGTGGTCCGGTATGGCGTCGGGAACGTCGTCAAGACGTATCGGAAGGCGTCGCTGGCGTCGACGGTCGCCGCCCACGTGCGGGGCCTCGTGTTTGCCTACAACGACGACGGCACGCTCGGGCTCATCACGTCCGACGGCGCCAATCTCTTGTGCGTCCAGAAGAGCGACGTGACGTCCGTGCTCACGGACGACCGCGCAATGCACCACTTTCACGCAACCAAGTGCAACGTCGCGCACGCAATGCAGCTCGCAACGACTGAGTACATGGGCCTGCAAGAGCACGAGCGTGCGCTGTACCAGCGCGAAGTCGAAATCAATTGCCTTTCGTCTAAATTGAGTCTAACTTAACACACCACCTTTCCACTTTTTCGACGTAAATGTGGTTTTGTCAGCAAAATTATAAGGGAAATTAGTCGCATTTCCTCGCATTGCACCAGATTCACACCTTTGAGATTTTTGGGAACGTCCCATCGTTAGCAATACGCCAGTGCCAGTACCAAGGCGAGAGCAGCCGTGGCGGTCTCTGTTATAACAGTCGATGCTACCAAGCTACGACTGATACGCTTTGATGATGCTGATGCTCCCTTGACCGAGTCGCAGAGGCTGGAAGATCTCAAAATTCGGGACAAGCAGATCTTAGTCGATCGAGTCACCAAGTGGTCGCTGATTGGTGCTGCAAACGTGCATTCCGCCGACCAACACTCTATCCAATCGAAGTTCGAACAAATATATGCGAAGCGCCCATTATTGCGTTGCCGGTCCAGCAAGGCGTCGTCGGGAAGCTACTTGTACGTGTACTGAAGGTCCTCGTAGCCCTCTCGTAGGACCAAACGCACCGAGTATTCTCATGCGTCAGGCTACTGGCACGGCAAACTCGGAGAGGTCGTGGTGCAACCTCATTCAAAATCGACCGTCGAAGTCGACTCGAAGTTTTCGAAGTCGTTGGAAAACCGGACAGAGTCCAACAGGCGCTGCGCGGTCGGTCGAAGCGGCTCATTCTCCATCCTCATGGACAAGGTGCTGCGCAAAACCGAGAAGCTGTACGACAAGGTGCTCGATGGCACGATGCGCCGAGAGAAGTGCATCTTCAAGGCAGAGAGCTACGTCCGCGACGCGGCCAAGGCTGAGCACTGGCGGCGCAAGCAGCGCGCTGCCAGCGGCAAGCTACAGAAGGCCCACGCCAAGCTCGGCAATGCGTTCGCGTCCAGCACGTTCCCGCCCGAGCAAGCTATATGGTTTGCATGCAAGTACGGCCTCGTCGACGTCGTGCGGCGTGCAACAGTAGGCATTGACGTGCCGGACGCCAAGGCGCACAACACACCCTTCATGATGGCGTGCCTTGGCGGGCATCTCGAGTGCGCCAAAGCGCTGTACGCTCGCGGCATTGAGCTCTTGGCGGTCAACCTAGCGGGCTTCACAGCGCTCCACTGTGCGAGCCAGCACGGACAGTACGTCATCGTCCAGTGGCTGCTCACACTGCCCGAGATGGACCCGCACGCTCGGTCTTTGAGCTCTCTCACGGCACTCGACGTGGCGCGACGCGCGTGCGCCGTCGGCGACAAGCTCGGCTGCGTCGTCAAGTGCATTCGACTCCTCGAGCAGGTACATGCCTATAACGACACCATCCAAATACTGATGGCCTGTCCTAGCGGCTGCTGGTGTTCTCGGGCTGGCTCTACGAGAGCGTGCTCGACTCGATCGCCAACAAGTACATTCTCAACACGGTCGGACTCAACTGCCACACGTGGCGCCTCCGCTTCGTACTCGTGCTAGCGACGGGCCACGAGACATCGACTTTGCAGTTTGTTGTTTACGACCAGCGCGAAAATGGCGTGCGTCCGTCGGCGCCCGAGTACCTACCCATGTCATCTTGCATATGGCTAATCGAACGGCATAGGTCGTTTTGGATGTATGAAAAAGGCGACCCGCTCACACTCCCGGGCTCGAAGCGCAACATCAACAACCGTGACCACACCTTTTCGTTTCATGCTCTTCAGAAGCCCAGTCTCTCGGAGCCCGGCGAGCTGCAGCGCGTCGAGTGTGCTGCCGTCGACGCCCCGAGCCTTGAGAAATGGGTTGCCTTCTTCGAAGAGAGTTTTGTCCAAGCCTCGATGGTGTGCTTCGTATCACTGCATTGGCTCATCTTGATACAACTAGCACGCGGCCCAGCGCGACGCCAGTAGCCGGTCCAACGACTCGTTCTTGCCACCGCGCGAGGGCAGCGTGCGGCGTCAAAGCTCGGGCTCGTCGTCGACAGAGCTCTTTCCTGCCATGCCGCCGCCGCAGTACAACGAACTCTTTCCATTACCACCACCCGTGCCCACCAAGCAGCTCGCCGTCGACACGTTCGACGAGATTGACGACGACCGGCGGTTTGCGGCGACGGCACCGTCGTTCTGCGAGCCAGCGAGCGCCCCGGCCTATGCACCACCGAGTGCACCGGTGGCCTATGCGCCGCCGAGTGCGCTGCTGCCCGCACCAAGTCGCGAGTGCGTCGTGTGCTATGACGCGCCGCAGGTCGGCGTCTGTGTGCCGTGCGGCCACAACGCTGTTTGTATGGAGTGCGCCGACCGGATCATGGCCCAAGATGCGAAAACGTGCCCCGTGTGTCGTGCCGAGATCCTTCAGATCATCCGCTTGTTCCAGTGCTAAACGAACTGCAAAAATCAAATCAACTTGGTCAACCAAGTGACAACGCGATCGACTGCCTGTTGTAATTTATAGGACGCTAGACTCCAACTCGTGAGCCAAAGGACAACGTCTGTGGCGAGGCTACGGACGCGTCGGATGATGACGTCGACGCCGATTTGATCCTGGCGTGCTGCCACGTCACACGGGCCGTTCGTCGATGGTAGGTGCGTGTCTGCGTGGCGGTCGCGCCAGCAAGCGCGCCTTATGTGGATGATGCACGCTTCGTCATGCGGGACGAGCAGCACAGCGCTCCAGCTCCGGTTTGCCGCTGCGCCGTTGTCTGAATTCAGCGCATTTTACGACCTACATTCTACATATATAACCATCACTCTATAGTTGAGCGCGCTCTCGTGATAGTCATGGCAGTTGAGATTGACGACGGTCAATATTCGGTAATTGCGACCTCGAGAATGCACATCAACTATCGTCGGGAGAGAAGAAGAGAGTACAATGTCGTGTCTCTGCCCACATATATCCCTTGCGCCAGCTAAAAAAGCCCTGTTTGGCCACACAACGTTCGTCGCGAGCGGGTTCCGCCGTTCGAGGCTAAGCGGGCTCGTACACAGCGTTCGTGTCGTCTCGTGGTGTCCTTCGTGGGCACAGATCTACCAGACATGTATTTGACCTGGTTAATGCAAGCCTCGCCCGCAACAAATTGTGCTTGCCAGCGCGCATCGTACACATATTGCACGGATTGCCATCATATTCATATTCCCACGTGGTTTTAAATATTGATGGGGCAATATGATATTGTATCTTGTCCATGCCCAGCCCATTTCAAGTCTCGTATTTTCGTCACCATGTTCGGCCTCCAAGCGCTCTACGAGTGGGCGATGACGGTCGTCCAGCCAGGCTCGGCGCTCTGGTACGCGGCCAAGAACGGCGACATCGGCGCCGTCACGACCTACCTCGAGGGCCATGGCCCCGACGCCATCCGCGACGCGCTCGAGATCACAGACGGTAGCGGATGCACGCCACTGCTCCTCGCCTGCGCCAAGGGCCACCTCGCGGTCGTCCACGCGCTCTTCGAGCACGAGGCGACGCAGCTCTACCTCCGCGACCAAGTTGACAACCGTGGCGATAGCGCCGTGCACCACGCTGTGCTCGCCGGGAAGGCCGAAGTGCTCCAGTACCTTGTGACGCTTCACGGCGTCTCGCCGTTCCGCCTCAACGCGCTCGGGCAGTCGCCGCTCGACCAAGCACGCGCCTTGTACGAAGACGTCGATGAGGCGCCGCGGCGATTCCTAACGTGCGTCGACATCCTCGAGCAGGTTGCCACCTCTGTGTGTTCTCGCAGCTGCTCATGACGTGGCATTAGCGCTGTACTGTCTTTGAAGGCTGGGTCTACGAAAGCATCGACAACTTGGCTTCGCGCACGCTGAGCGTCTCGGCGCTGCAGTCGTGGAAGCGGCGGTGCGTCACCACATGAACAGGACAGTACCTCGAAGGACGTTGCGGTAGGTACGGGATCGTACTGCGGACCGCGCTGCGCTCACACTTTGAGCTCGTGCTCTACTCGTTCTCGGCCGAGCGGCGTGACGATGCCAACTGGGAGCGGTCGTCGACGCCCTCGTACACGCCCTTCCTTCAACGTACACCCTTCTTTGACGACAATGAACTAGGTCGGTCGTGCTCTTCCGCGTCGGCGCCGACGCGGTCAACTTCAACAGCAAGCAAAAGCTCTTCAACAGCAAGCCCTTTGCCTTTACGCTCGAGTGCGTCAAGAAGGACGGTGCGCACACGTCGCTGCCGACAATGGTGCACGAGCCGCTCGAGTTTGCGGCGGTCAACGCCGACGGCTACGCCGCGTGGACCACCTTCCTCGTCACAGACGCCGTACGTTCCCCGACCATCTCCTACCGCTTCGCACGAACCGCTTGCGTAGCTGCAAGCCGTGTACGACCCGTGCATGGACCCGGAAGCCTACCGCTCATCGTCGGTGCACACTGAGGTACCGTACTTGTCGTAGCCGGATTCGAAACCATTGGAGTAGTCTGCGGCGGCCCGTGCCCCGCCGCCGCCCTCGCCGTGCACCCCGACCGCTCCGTCGTTGGACGACGTGCTACTGCCGAGCCCAGGTACTACTTACTGCACGGTTGTTGTCGTCGGTACTCTGTGGCCTCAGGACACTTGCTCGTCCGTAGCGCCAACCGCACCCGCACTCTACCAAGCCGAATGCATCGTCTGCCTCGACGACGCATGCGATGCCGTGTGCGTACCCTGCGGCCACAACACCATGTGCCTCAGCTGCGCGTCGAGCATTTTCGAGTCGACGGCCGAGTGCCCCGTATGCCGTGCGCAGATCCGCGAAGTGATCAAGATCTACCGTGCCTAGCCCCATTTCCTACTTGTAATATCGTGTCAACCGTGGTTGCTTGGTTGGCTTGGTCGTCGACGGCTTGCGATGTGGCGCCACCCGTATCTTAGCGAACTCGTCGCGAGTCATAGAGATGCGCGCTGCCATTACCGACGCGGATGTAGGAGCTGTACGAGCAGGCTGGGCACCTGGCGTGAATGCGACTGGTAGCGACACAGAGAGACGCTGCTAGAGCGTGTCTGGTCGCAGGACGCAGGGCCATGACAGCCGAGCATCACGCGCCTCCATTAGCCCGCGCTCGGCCAATCGGACGGCGCTGCAAGTAGCCATCACCTGCGATCGCCTCCAAAATGTGATGAGCCATCGCTATGTTCTCAGCGATATGCTAAAGGCTGCAATATTTGGCGCTCTAATATCGCGATTCGACGCGACCTAAATTTTATTTTTCGCAGTCGATGCGATAGAAAGAGCCTCCGCGAACATTCCTATGCACGCGGTTTGCCCACATATACGTGTTATCAATCCTTGGCGGCCGCCGACAGTGCGCAGGTCCGTCATCGGCGTGACGTCAGACGGCAGTAATCCGGATAACGTCTTCAAATCCGGAAATTGGTATACTTTTGTGTCAAGTTGTGAAAAATTGTCGGCTTTTGCATATCGTAGCCATGTCTATACAAATTTGTCCGCGCCAACTTCAAGTGCATTAAAATGTAATGCAATCTCATGCTCCAATCTTTTAAATACCCTGCGTTTGTATACTGTACTGAATCTCTCGCATTAAAAAGGAATCTCGTTTGCATTTTATTGTGCATCTGTCGCAGGCGGGCGCGTGCCAGATTCAAGAAGCCGTCTCCGCCGCTCTGCTCGTACAGTGTAGTCGGACTCTAGTAGGCGCCGCCGGCCGAGCAAGGCAGTTCTTATTTAGCGAGCCATGCCCCACTCGCACCTCGCCAACACGTACGACTTTGTGCGGCCGTTGGCGCAGACCGACGCGACCTTGGCCGTCTACCAGCACATTACGAGCCGCGACCTCGTCGTCATCAAAAGCTTTCCAACGAACGCGGTGCATGTCGACGAAGTTGACGCGCGCGAGCTCGGGTACAAGGAGCTCGCTATCAACCGCGCACTGCAGCCGTACCCGCACGAGAACGTCGTGCATCTCCGCGATCACTTTATTGAAAACGGTCAACTGCACTTGGTCACCGACTATTGCGTTGGCGGCGACCTCCTCTCGAGCCTCCTCTCGACCTCGTCCGTCTGGAAGGAGGGCCACGTCGTGGGCCTCTTTCGCCAAATCGTGAAAGGCCTTGCCCATATCCACAAGCACGACATTGCACATTTGGACGTGTCGCTCGAGAACCTCTTGCTCGACGGCGGGAACGGTGTCCGGCTCTGCGACTTTGGCCTTGGACTGCTCTCGACACCGACCAAGTTTGGCGGCGTCGGGAAGCTCTACTACATGGCGCCCGAGATGTTTATGCGCCGCGCTTACAACGCGCAGGCCGCAGACCGCTGGGCGCTCGGCGTCGTGCTCTTCATGCTCCTCACGGGCCGCCCGCTCTTTGAAGAGGCGACCTTACGCGACGCCAACTACAAGATCTTTTTCGAGGCGCAAGCAGCTACACCCGAGACGGGCGTCGCGGCGCTCATTGCGCGCGTCGGCCTGCACCTCTCGTCGGCCGCACTCGACCTCGTCACCAAGCTTCTCAACCCGAGTCCAATGCAGCGCTTGTCGCTGGACGACGTGCTGGCCCACAAGTTTTTGCATCCGACCCCGCCCGTCCTCAAGAACCTGCGCAAGCGGTCGGCGAGCCAGCCCGTGTTGATGAGCGTGCACGCGCTCAAGCCCATGGCGCAGCTCTCGATGCGGTATCTCTCGTCGCTTGCGACCGCCACTTAACATTATACTAACTTATTCTTCATCTTATTCTTTCTTATACTCGTTGTGAGTGAAATACCAGTCGACATGTGGTCTACACCAACAAGCGTATTGGGGAGCCAATCCCCCTCACGTAGCCAATGATTGCTCAACACGCCGGCACCTGCGCGTGCCTGCCCATCACCACCACCCTAACGCTACTTCAAGTTGCAAGTGCAATGTCGCCGCTCGCACAACTTGTCTAGCCGCTTGCCCGGACCACGCAACAAAGGAAACGCGTTGGTGATGCACTGCCGTCACTCGCGTCGGTGCACCGAATGGCTGCTCTGCTGCACAAGCGTACGCCCACCCATCAACTCGCGGCAAAGCTCACGTAGGTTAAGATTATCGCCCAAAACTCTCCGTCGCGGGAGGGTTAACAGTTCAAACCGCGGTTGAACCGCGTCTAGTCGGTCTTGGTCTTGGCGACCTCGACGACCGTCCACTGCCAGTACGTTGTGTAGCCAAGCGCCAGCACAAAGTGAGCGCACGCGTAGAGGGCAAAGAGGTACTGGTGGACGTGGGGGTACTTGGCCGGTGGCGGCACAAGCGCGGCCACCAAGTGCAGCACGAGCATGCCCAGCAGCGACACCTACGCGGTGTTGAGCGCCACCAAAGTCACGGCCACGTACAAGCACGTAGACGCGCTGCCAGCGATGGACTCGGCCGCCACGATCGATACCCGGCGCCGAGACGTCGGCGTGCAAGCGCGACGATGTCAGGTACGGGTAGATGCCAAAGCAGACGTAGCCGAGGCTGCCGGCCACATACGGGACAACGAGACCGTCCTTGACGAGCAAAAAGTACATGCTACTGCGGCATCAGACATGTTGTACATCGATACGCGGTATACCTAAAGGTCGCGACAGCACCAAAGTGGCTTGCGAGCAGCGACGCTTCCGAGAGCAAAAACGTCATGGGCAAGAGCGGCAGCAGAATCGATTTTTCGTGGACTAGACATGCATAGCATGTCAACACACTAGAAGACAATATTGGCAGATCGACCTTGATACGAAAAGAGAAAGAAGGCCATCGAGCAGTTGAAAAGACTGAGGAAGAAGCGCGTGCGGCTCGGTGGTCGTCGAAGGAGGTCGAGAACCGACGGAAGAAAGGCCAGGAGCGTGGCGAGTGTGCTACCCCAATGTTATGAGAGCTGGCCGACAGCCTCTGCGATGTACCAGAGGTACACCAGGTGCTCTTGGCTGGCGACGCGCTGCCGCAGCTTGAGGAAGAGGTCGAGGCAGCACCAGACGTTGGCCACTTTGTCTTCAAAGAGGCCACGCCCGACGGGGAAGATGCGGTGGAGCACTAGGAGCACACGTCGTGTCCTATTCTGGATGTTGCAAGGTATCTATGTACCTTGGGCCAGGCCGTCGACGCAGGTCGTGTCCGAGAAGACGCAGAACGGCGCCCAGAGCACCGAGAACGTCAGAAGGACGGCTGTTGCGAGCGTGGCAAAGAGAGACAGGAAGCGGGGACCATAGACACATTTGGCCAAGAGGTAGAACGTGATGGCCGGCGCGTAGTAGAGCGACATTTGCTTAAAGTTGAGCGCGAGGCAGTAGCAGACGGCACCGACAAAGTTATAATCGCGCAGAATGCACACAACTGCAAGCGTTGTCAAGCCCAGCGACACGTTGTTGTACTAGTTGGCATGGATATAACACGCTCCTAACAGCAAGAGAGGAAGGAACCTGAAAGTGGCCGTGGTCAATCAAGATGAACGCGGGCTGCAAGAGCATGAGCATGAGCAATTCCATGCGCAACATCCACTGCTTGTCGTAGACGCACTTGGCGAGCAGCGCGAGCGACGGGATGAAGACGACGAGATCGCAGATGAGGACCGTCGCCCGCATAAAGACCTTGCTCGTCACGGTCTCGTAGCCGCGCGACGCGTCCAAGGCCACGAGCGCGGGCTCGACAACGCTAGCCACCGAGCCGCAGATATATGAGACGTACGCCGTCAGCGGCGGGTAGTCGAGGCCCCAGTACAAGAGGTCGTAGTGGTACCAGCGCGAGAGAGGCAGCTGGAACGTGAGCTCCATCCAATGGCGCTGGGCTTCGTAGTCGCCGAACATGGGGCTAAGGCCCATGCCCGAGTACGGATGCAGCGAGACGAGCCAGCGTACGAGGAGCGCGACGACGACGACGAGCGCAGCGCCGGACGCCTGGAGGCCCTGCGCTTCCAAGGTCGACCACATGGCCAAATGGCCATCGAAGACACAATCGCACATTTATGGACCAATCAGAGCGCGCTGCGTGGCTTCGAAATTTGGGTGCCTGTGGAGCATGCCACGTCATCATCGCGAAGGCACGGTGATCTTCTTCGACAATGCAATACTTGTAGCTTCACCTTGCTCCCGACGGAACGTACCTTGCCGCAGCCGTGCGCCAGGCTCTTCGATGCTTTGCCGACTGCGCATCGCTGTCGTCATCAAAGCCGAGTTTGGCGAGAGTCGTTGGACACCACGGTTTCTCACGCAAGAGCTAGGTATGGATGCTTGGGGCTGGTGGGGCAACGGTGCTGCTATTCGCACTCGTACCTCGACGGGACGCGGGTCATTGTAGTCGTTTATGACTGAAATGTAATCGGTGGAAGCGTCGTGAGTTGTATAGGATAACAATGCAATAATAGATGCAATAGCTTAGACTAAAAGTCACCACCAAAAGTACCCCCGCCGTCACCACCACCGCCGCCAAAGTCGCCGCCAAAGCCACCACCATCACGGCCATAGTCGCCGCCGTCGCCAAAGCCGCCAAAGTGATGGTGGTGGTGCCCACCGTCAAGCATGCCACCGACGATCATGCCTTCGACGAAGCCGTTGTTGCCGCCGTAAACGACGGGGTGCGGCGCCACGACGACATGAGCCCCGCCAAACACTTGAGGTTGCGGCTGATACACCACTTGGGGCTGTGGCTGGTACAACACTGGCTGGGGCTGGGGTTGGTACATGACCTGTTGCGGCTGCTGGCCGGGGTACATGACTTGCTGGCCGGGGTACATTACTTGCTGCGGCTGCTGCCCCGGGTACATGGCTTGGGGTTGGCCACCACAGTATGGCTGTTGTTTCACGGGCTGCCCTGGGTATCCGCCTTGGCCTTGCGGTGGGTACACGATGGGCTGTGCCATGGGCACGGCCATTGGCACGGCTTGCTGCGGCACCGTGATGATGTGGCGAACGCCGCAGCAGAGTTTGAAGCATTTCCGAAAGAAGCAGGCAAAGCCCACGACGATGAAGATAAAGATCACACCCCCGACGATGCCGCCGATGAGTCCGCCGCTCGAGCTGGAGGATGTCGTCGGCTGATTCTTGCACTCGCATGCATAATTCGACACGGCGCAAATGGCGCCCGTTGGGCAGCAGCAGCCGAGCGTCGCACCCATATTACTGAGCCAGTGCCCGCAAAATCGCCCCGGCGTGTTGCGGTACGCCGTTGCGCAGTTGCCGGTGGCTTCACACTGCTGGCACCCATCGAGCGCCGACGTGACGGCAAGCATGGCCGATGCCAGCAGCAGCTGAGGTGTACTGCTGCGTTGCATGAAGAAGCTAAAATGAAATCGTGGCGTTGGCTCATCATGGCAGTGGCTATTCATAGCCACTGTGTTCCCTTTGCCAATCAAATATCTTCGTCGACAGAGTTTGTATTGTGGACAAAAGAGTGAGCGACGAGCCTTTTCCATTGAAAGCTCGTGGCTTACGCAAGGGCCAAACGAAGCACCGCGACGACGATGTCAAAAATGTGCCGTTGCCGTACTAGCCTTCCACGGTCAGTTGAACTCTCTGGATAGTGGCCGTTGGTCGATACCCATTGGACGGTGCCCGAGACTTGCAAGCGTCTTTCTCGATTACCTGCTCGTATGACAATGTGAACGACGGATTCTAGTTGTATAGCCGACAGAGTACACGATGCACATGCGTAAGACGAAGCCCCGTGGGCCTTTTCTAGGATGATGCTGGGAAATCGACTAAGAATTCTTATTGCTATGACCAAGACGGTCCATCTTGTGCACCTCACCAAGGAGATCTAGTGCGCAGGCTACAATTTAGTCGGCCGGCGAGGCCATGCCACTTGGGTAGTTTATCTACCCGTACACGAAGAGGACCTCGACATTCCCAACACTCGAAATGAAACTAGGCTACGATTTTACATACCGGTCTAGTAAGCGACGGATTTGGTCCAGCAGCCTAGTCGGACAGAAGCTTCTTCGCGCTCGACCCTCAAGAGATTGTTGAAACCGACAGCGCACCATACATTTTCTTTCTTCGTCCTCGAGAAGAAGCGTGCGGCAGACAGCACGCGACTTCGTTCGTTGCCAGTTACGACGCCTATGGACGACATGAGATTGTGAATTTTTGAGATTGCACTGCAAGCTCGTCATTCCGCTTGCCACGTCATGAGCGTGAAACCGTCGCCGTGTCTTTCCAGCCATACGTTCCGTCCTTCTTCATCGCTTTGGCCTTGACGACAACAAATGCACACAACTACAGCAGTCGTAGGCAGCTTTGATGATTCAAGTGGTTGTGTTGACAACCTCTCCGAGCTCTGGTTGTATGGATGCATTTGAATCCAGTAAAATGGCACCGGCTGCTTGGGTTCTGGGCGAATTCCAGGCTGCGGTTGTGCGCCATACAAACTCCAAAGGGAATCCTCCGAGCACGACCAACATTTTCCGAGATACGATTCGTCCCACTCTGCGGTTTGGCGCCAAGACTGGTCCTTCTGCCGTTCCCGCCAGTCTGTTCCGATGCTTCTGCCGACCAGACGCGGCGCTTCGAAAAATGCCACACACGAGAACGCGCCTAGCGCCATATGCAGACACTGTGCCAAAGCGTGCTACATGATCACGGAGCGCGCTTGAATCTAGCTCGAGCAGCCATCAACAATCGGATCTTATTTTTGTATTTCGCGCCTTTTTATACAAATCTCCAATCTCTTCAAATCTTTCGATAAAAAAGACCGCGCCACGTGAACTTTCGGCCACAGTCGCATTGAAGTCGGCTTGGACTGTCTCCGGATTGGTGAAAGCATTGGGACGTGTGTTCTGATTGGCTATACTCCGAGTGTCTCGTGCAACATCCAATCAAAGTCGTCGCATGACGATCCACGCGGCACCTCGCTGTTGCCAATCCACGGGCGAGCGAAACGAGGTGGGCACGTTTCATTGGCTAAAAATTGCTGTGCACCATACGATTGGATAAAAGAAAATTCACACAGAGTGATGGTCCTGGATTGGAGATTGTCAACCTGCTTCGACGGGCGCATTCTTCAAGTTTCCATCTACCACGACCAGCATGGACCGATACACGATCGACCGCGTGCTAGCGCCCGCACTGTACGGTGACGTCGTCTTGGCTCGCGACGCCGTCACCGGCGACCGCGTGGCCATCAAGCGCATGAAGCTCGAGGCCGCGCGCCGCCAAACGATGCTCGTCGGGCAACGCCCCATCTCGGAAGACATTCTCTTTGAGAAGCACGTCAACCGCGCGCTGAGCGCCGATGGCGGCCACACCAACGTGCTGCGCATGCGCGACGACTTTACGCAGGACGGCTACGAGCACTTTGTACTCGACTTTTGCGCTGGCGGCGAGCTCTACGACGTCGTGAGCAACGCGCCGGGCCAGCGCCTTGCGCTCCCGACCGCGACCGCCTTCTTTCGGCAGATTGTCCGCGGCGTGGCCTTTATGCACAGCCGCGGTTTTGCCCATCGCGACCTCTCGCTCGAGAACGTCCTCGTCGACGGAACCGGCATTTGCCACATTTGCGACTTTGGCCTCGCGGCGAGCCTACCGAGCTTGCGCAAGGAAGCGGTCGGAAAGACGTTCTACATGGCGCCCGAGGTGCTCGCGGGCCAGTCGTACGACCCGGCCAAAGCCGACATGTGGTCGCTTGGCATTATGCTCTTCATCATGCTCGCGGGTATCCCGCCCGTCGAAGTGGCCGCCGAGTCGGACAGCCGCTTCCGCGTCATTCGCGCCAAGGGCGTCGTCAAGCTTCTCGAGCTCTGGAAGATGACACACTTCTTTGATGCGGACGCGCTGGACCTGCTGGGGCAGCTGCTGCACCCGGACGCTACTGCGCGGCTCTCGCTCGACGCCCTCCTCCACCACGCCTTTGTGGTCGATCCCTCCGAGGCTATTCTGCACATTGCCGACATCAAGATCACAACAGGCGACGACCACAAGATTGCTTCCGACGCCTCGACCAAGCGCGTGGGTCTTGCGTCGGCAGTCATGCACCGCTTCAAGACCATCCGCCGCCCGTCGTCGCGCAAGATCACAGCCGCGCCATTGGCATCGATCGCAGACGTGCCGACCGCGCTGAAATGAGGCACTGTCGTGCACTGGCGTCTTCTGCATGTGCTCGTCTTTGCGCGTTTGTGACCACTGTATTTACCCGTATTTTACTTATTTAACAAAAAACTTAGTTTTCCATGGAACCAGCACCACTCATGTACACTTTGTCACTCGCTTTTGCTCCGTGGCTAGAGCATATTTAGCAGGAAACGCATGCGAATAGAAGATACGGTTGGATTCACTGCAACCAAAATGCGTTGCATCCGGCCTTGTGACTCACCGTGCGTCGATCCTCCGAGCCAGTCGACATGCAGTTGCAGGACCCTCTGCGCTTCAACGCGAAGCTACCGGTGACTTCAACGCTTGGGATCATGGAGCCAGCATCCAGCATCCGTTCGTCGCTGCGCTGGCGTGAGTCACCGTTGACCTTTCGACAAGGCGACTGCGTAGACGCGCATGTACCGTTTGGCGTTAATATCCCCTCAATATGCTCCGATATTTCCTTTGCAGCACACTAGAAAAGGAGGTTGCGTGTTAGTCACCCTCGCTGGTGCATTGAAGTACGTGGCAATGACGCGCAGCGCGCCCGAGGGTTGCACGACGAACGCCATGGTGTGCAATGCTGTAGCGTTACAGTTGCCACAGTCAGTACTTGCTACCGTCGAGAATCTTTCCAATCGCGTTGTGATTGGCTGACGAAAAAATATCAAGTACTTATTGAGTGAATCGTGGCGGGAACCTCGCGCCAAGTGGTGGTGTTCGTGTCTGGACCTCAACGGATGCTCCGGTTCTTGCGGCCCATTCTTCGACTTACCATTCGATGGACGCGTACACGCTGGTCGAGAAGGTCGCCGACGCCATTTACGGCCAAGTGCTCCTCTGCAAGGAGAATGCGACCGGGCGCCTCGTTGTGATCAAGCAAACCAACCTCGCTGCGATGCGCGCCAAGCGCGCGTGCACGACGCAGCGAAAGGTGGCCGAAGACGGCGAGATGGAGAAGACCGTGTACACAGCACTCTCGGCGCGGGGCGGCCACACCAACGTCCTCTCGCTCCTCGACTCGTTTGACAACGAGACGCATTCGCACTTAGTGTTTGACCACTGCAAGTTTGGCGAGCTGTACAACGTGCTCGTCGACGCCCCGGAGAGCCGCTTTGGCCTCCGTGACGCGCAGGCGTATTTTCGACAAATCGTGCGCGGCGTGAGCTTCCTCCACGCATCTGGGTATGCGCACCGCGATCTCTCGCTCGAGAACGTTCTGGTGGACGCCAAGAAGCAGTGCCGCGTCATGGACTTTGGCCTCGCCGTGCCGATTGCGCCGACGCGGCACGAGTGCGTCGGGAAGCTCTTCTACATGGCGCCCGAAGTCTACCAAGGCGTCGCGTACCAGCCGCTCCTCGCCGACATGTGGTCGCTCGGCATTCTGCTCTACATCATGCTCACGGGCGCCCCACCGATCGAGAGCACATCGGTCGACGACGAGCGCTACCGCGTGTTGCACACGAGCGGCATTCGCGCGTTGGTCAAGGTGTGGCATCTCGGAGGCTACTTCTCGCCCGACGCGTTGGACGTTGTCGATGGGCTCCTCCAAGTAAACCCCGTGAAGCGCATGACGACGCACTCGCTCTTGCACCACCCGTTTCTGCAAAAGGAGCTCGACGCCAGAGAACATACCAAGGCGACGTCCGGGCTCAGCCTCGAAACCCTGCTCGCGATGCTCAACTTACGCCACCCCGACATGTACAAGCGATAAGATCGCACCTTATTTAACTCGATGAGACGAAATTGCCTATCAACAAACGCCCTTATTTACTTTGGCCTCGAGAGCGAGTGGCGTCCGGTACAACTACGTCGCAGAGACGAGGAGACTCGGCCACGGCCAGCAGTTTAAGACTATAACCCGACGTTGTTATCGAGGTCAAACCACGACTTGATCTCGGCAGGACACTTGAGGGTTTTTGGTGCCCGTCAAATTGAGTCGACAACGAGTGAACCCTTGGCGACGATTGGCGTTGATATTGAGCGCGGTTGCCGAGTTGGTCGTGGCCCAGTTGTGCGATAGCAACACGAGAAATGCCTTGTGCCGTCGATTTCTGGCCCGCCTGTCCGACACGTGCTTTCGTGTACCGTTGACACGACTGGCACCCACTCGAGTGGGATCAAGCGGCTCACAACAATGCCTTTGGAGCTGCAAGTCCAAGATTCGGCGCGGCTTTAGCGTCGTGGCTCGATCGAGTGGAGTGTAGAGTTGGCCTCGACTGGCATCGTGAGAAAGACTTGCGCATGCGCTTGGGATATGGCGTGGAAGACCGCAGTACTCAACACGCCACTGCCACCGATCAACGCCCAGCGAGTCCAGCTCCGACTTCATGTGCCGGGTGAGCGTGGGTGCCGTCCGAATCAACTCGTCGAGCTCACCATCGACCCGAGCTCGCTTGAAACCCTCGTCATGCGTTGGCGACGCACGGCGTTTGGACGGCGTCGGAGCCGCCGCGGCGCTACCGAGCGGTGCAGGCCGGGTGGCGGCAGACGATGCAAGGACCGTTGAGTTGCGAGCGTCCGTCGCTGAGACGGCGTCCAAAGGTCGCTTTTGGGAGGAGGTACAAAGACTGCGCCACGGCTTGAGCGGCTGCCTCCCACGTCATCACGCAAACAAAATATATTGACGTGTTGCGTCGATGTTCGCACGACCGTTGGGCGGGACGTAGCCACGATGGTGTGTCGTCCAGTGGGCAATGTCTCGTCCCAGCAAGTCAACTCGGACGTCAGCACACCGTTCACGCCTTGACCTCGTCGTAGCAACCGATCACAAGCGGGCGGGCTGGTAGAACCCGCTTCTACAATATTATGTAAATGCCAGGCTTTGGCAATGGGCGCGAAGCAGGTCGAGCAGGCGCGATCTTCCGGATGCACGTATTTATCCGAAGGGAGTCGAGTCAGCTGCGCGCCTAACTCTGCATCTCGCACTGCCATCAGCGCACGCTCTTCATCGCTGCTGTCGTCGCCCAAGTCATCAAGGGACGCCTCTTGACTGTCATTCTCGCTCGAACTCGACAGCTGCGTCTCGTGCGCGTCGCGGGGCGCACTTTCGACACGCTGTCGGTGCGCTCGCAACTGCAAATCGGAGCCCGCGACGCCATAACTCTGTAGCAGTCCATAGGTTTTTATCTTTGAGGACCCTAACGCCGCCTTGTCGAGGCAACCAAACAACGAATGAAAGCGTTCTTGCGAAGCTACGATTCATTTGTTTGTATTCACGACCACGTGAAATCGAGGCCATCTTGTGCACGTGCGGTGGGTACCTCAGCGACACCGGCACTCAGGAACGTTGACCCGCCGAATCGACCAACTTGAAATTTTCCAGGCGGTGTGCATCCGAGAAGCTACGGCCGACGGCGCCAGCGGTGCCAGCACAGGATGCCCAAGCAGAGAGCGAAGCCAACACTTAGCGCGACACTAGTCGTAGCGCTCGAGGGCGTGGTGAGAGCGGGCAGACATGTCTGAACGCCAATGTCGGTCGTACTTGGCGCCGACTGCGCCAAAGTCGCCTTTTCAAGCGTGTGGCGTTGTGGCTGCGCCAATCGTTGCACACTGTTCTTGTTGCCGAGGTGGCTCTCGTCTCCCGCCGCGCCACGTATGCACTTGGCGCGCTGCACAAACTGCAATGTCGCAAGTGTTTCAGTGACGTGGCGTGCGTCCGACGAGATCGTTGCGACAATGGTCGTCTTGGCGGTGAGCGCGTCCCGCAGCAGGAACGTGAGCTTTGAGTCGCGGTAGGGTATATGCCGATGCGTCCCGTTCGAGACATCGACGAGCGCGGTGATGACGTTGGCGAGGCACGACAGCGACTTGTTGATTTGCGTTGCCTACAATCCCTGAGACGACGACGTTTTCGAGTCATTTTGTATCAAAACCTCGTGGACGCTTGCGCCGGTGTGGGTCTCGGAGCCCGCGAGATCGACACAGTACAAGACGCTCTGGAAGCAGGCCTGCGTGAGCGTCATCTGAAGGATCGCGTGGGACCGAGAGCTGTCGCGGTTCATGGCCGTGCTGCCGACCCGGCGGTGCTTGGCGCCGAGCTGCAGCAGCGCATTTGCCTCGGCGCTCGAGCGCACGGTCCGCGACACGAGGTCTTGCACAAAAACGGTACCCAGCTGGGTGTCTTCCCGCACGCACTTGGCGCGACTGTGCGCATTATCGAGGAGGTCGTGGACCTTGTCGCCGTAGATTTCAAAGTACGAGACGTTGTACACAGCGTCCTACGCCAGCCAAACCATTTAACCGACAAGCCACCAAGAGATATCGCTGACCGGTGCTTTTGTCAGCAGCGCCTGCAAGACCCGGGCGAGGAGCCCGCGGTCGGGGCCCTCGACCGCGCCGAGCATCGTATACGTCTTGCCAGACCCGGTTTGACCGTACGTGAAGAGACTGCTGTTGCTGCCAGCGAGAAGGCGGTCGACAACCGGACGACCCACTGCGTCAAAGACATCGTCTTGGGTGGCGGTAGCGTCCAAGATCCCATCGATGAGAAACGCGCGCTTCTCGCCTGTGGCTCGAGCTACTTCGATGGACACACCGTCCTTGGTTGTTGTTTGTGTGCAGGCGAGAATTGGGGCGGAGGAGGACGACGGGCGCAGTCGTACAAATGTCGAGACGATGTCGTGGTCGGCAAGCACACTACTCTCGGTTGGGGGGCATGACCGCACCTTTCGGAGTGGTTTCTCAGGGCTCGTCGACGGACTTGGATGGGACCGCCGACGCACGACGGGGGAGCGTCGGCGCCGCGGGCGACAGTCGTCGTCTCGCTTGGTTACGCGGGGCGCCACCATCTCGAGATGATGTTCCAGCGCTCGATGCCGTTGGCTCGCTGCCACAGTTGGCAGTTGAAACGTTGGATGCACGCATTTTCGCACATTCGCAAGTTGATAGATTGATGTTATTGGCAAGGCAAATTACATGGTGAGCGTCTCGCATGAACGCATCCTCTCAGCCATCTCGCGCATGGACGCTGACGACACGACGCCGTCGGTCGTTGGGTAGCAATACTGCACTGTGACGCGAATGGGAGACGCAATATCACGTTCAATGGTTCGGCCGGTGAGGCTCGGGAAGGCGCCGACGGCGACGCCCACCGTTGCGTCCGAAGAAGGACCAGTAGCGTAGTACACCGGACTTGGGGCGTAGCTCGCAGCAATGGCGTTCGGAAGAGCCATTGACGGCGGTGCGACCGTCAGAGGTGCTTCAATGCGCCGTGGCGAATCATACGTCGGGCTCGGTTCAGTTGGGACAAAGGCTGAAGTCGTTGGCACTGTAGGTGGCACATAGGCTGGCAAAGTTGGGACGTAGGCTGGAGCTGTTGGGACATTCGATGGGGTAGCAGGGTCGACCAGAGACATACTGGGGGAGTACGCGGGGGTTGTCGGGTGGTATTGGGGGGCCGCAGGATCGCATTGTGGAAGGCATGGCCAATAGTCGGGCTGACGGGGTCCAAGCTCGGGCAACGTCGGACTTTGTGGTGCTGGCCAATCTCGCCGGTTCTGCGGCCCGTCGGGTAGAAATGGGTTGAAAAAGGGGGTGCGACGTGCCGTTGCGCCGGACTGCAACGTCTTTGTCTCCGTGATTGGTATTTGGACGATCGTCACAACCGGGCGAAGCTTGGGGTTGGTCACCAGCGTACGCCGCGTGCCGTGGTCGTTGACATAGAGCGCCGACTCTCCGCGCTGCACGACATGTGCACTACGGAATTGCTACGTTTGCTCTTGCAGAGACAGCCAGCAGATTCAGTACCTTGTGCCTTCTTCGGTGCAGAGCAGGACGAGCTCGGCAGTGGCGTCAGTTCGAAGACCGACGTGGAAGCACGTGGCCCGGCCGTCGACCACCGGCAGCATGCATGTCTGCGTACGCACAATGACGCGGTCGTCCTCTCTGTCGAGAAGCACGCTCGTCTTGAGTGAGGTGTACTTTGAAATATCCTGCAAGTACGTCGCGAGCGGCAGCGTGGTCAAGGGCGCGGCCGCCTCGTTGCCGACGGTCACGACAACGTCGCGTGTCCGGTGGCAATGCACTAGGAGATGGGCTATGTCATCTGCACCGATTCGAACACATGCAACTGTACTAGTATCGTCAAGGCGCTTGAGGACCGGCAGCTTTTGTGTGCCCACAACGAGCGTCGCGAGCGGGGTCGAAGCGGCGACCACTGCGTCCCACGAGCCGCTTTCGAAGCGGAGCCCGCACGCTGCCGCGTTAGCTTGCGCCTCGGCCTCTTCGACGAGCTGCATCACGCGTGTCGACACGACGCTGTACTTGGTCATGTGTGCAGCACGTGGCAATTTGAAAATGACACATTTTGTCATGTTTGCACCACGACCGTCATTTTGCACTTATGTCTTTTCAGAGACTCAATAACCTCTTTTACCTCTGCGTAAAACTGTGTAATTCAATAGAACCGGCGGTTGACTTGATGACGTGGCAGCACGCAAACAAAACAAAGCCATGGAGACAACAACAGCCGTGATATATTGCACAGAAGACTTGACATTGGGGTTGCACACTAGTAGTGGTAGTAGGTCGTGTTGGTGAAGACGACTTGTTGGAACTCGGCCGGGCAGAGCGGGAAGAGGATCTTCGGGTCCGCCGTCTCGGGCGCGAACAAGTCCTTGCCCGTTTGAATCGAGACGTACACGCCGAGGAAGACAGCGATGAGGATGCACACGAACGCAAAGATCTTTTCCGGCCACTTGATCGACGGCCAGAAGGTCTTCAGGTAAAAGAGCATCGGGAGGATCATGTTGACGAGCGCCGACGCCGACGCTCCGACAAAGTCGACGAGCGCGTTCAGATGGTCCTTCCAGATGACGGCAATGACGACACAGACGGCAATGAGCGCCGTGCGCACGAGCGAAGCCTTAAAGTACGACCCGGGGGCCTTGTACGCGTTGACTTCTTCGCGCGGACCGGCGTCGACGACCGCACCAAAGGTCGCGCTCTCCACGTCGTCGTCGAGCGCCGGCGTCTGCACTTCCTTCTCGAGCACCATGTCACGGTCCTTGTGCAACCCGAGCACGAGGCGCTCGAGGATCTGGAAGACCGGGAAGAAGATGACGGCGAATGCGATCGTAATGTGAAACTGCATGAAGAGGAACGCGAGCACGACATAGCCGCGCGAGGCCGAGAAGCCGAGCTTCGAGCCCGATATCGCAAACAACAGGTTGTTGGGTGTTTGGCAGCCGGCCGAAAAGACGCCGAGAAGCGCCACAGTAAAGAAGAAGAAGGTGATGATGCCCTGCGCGACAAGCGAGATGCGCGGCATGCGCTCTGGCCGCGTGTGCTCGTGCGTCAGCGACGGGATGATCATGCACGCGCCATACGCAAAGGCGAGGTTGCCAAAAACGGTCGTGACGCTCGTAAAATTAATGTCCGGCGACGGCGGCGAAATGCCAGTCGGGTTGACGTCCTCCATGTTGGTGATGAGGAGCGCGAGCGCAATACCATCGGCGAGGACGGTCGCGAGGCCGCCGGCGAGGGCCATGCCCGCGCCTTCCTTCATCGTTGGCACGAGGCAGACTGGAAGAAGCGTGATGGCCATGAGGATCAGCCACGTCGTTTGGGAAAACGACATGGGAAAGAGCGTCGTGAGCAGCGTACCGCCGAGCACGAGGTACACGATCGGGTACATGGCGCAGAGAAGGCACTGGAAAATCAGCGAAAAATACTTGCCAACGCGGCCAAAGCACCAGTCGCCAAGGTCGCCGAGCGTCAGAATGGACTTGGGCGCGACGACGAGCACCTTGCAGAGACACCACGTCGCGTACGTGTTGATGATCGCCATCAAGATGAAGGCGATTGTGGCCGCGAAATAGCCGGCGCGGGCGTAGTTGCCGGCGAGGCCGAGACTACCGACGCCGAGGCAGCAGCAGACAAGCGACACGACAATCTTCATGTCTTCTAGTGTAAGGAATGCCATGCTTGGTGTCGATGGCCAATTCGAAAATGAAAAACTGCAACCGAGGCGAAGGCGGTTGCCATTTGGTTGGGCCTGCACCCGTTTGGCGTCGCTATGGAACCACGTGGCGCGATGTGCGGTCGTCGCGGGCACTTGTTTCGAATGGGTTACGAAGTTTCTTTGGCGCCGCCACCTCTGTTTCTGGCCAAGTGCAACGATCGAAAGGCGCACTTCAAGCTACGATAAGCGACCTTGGAACACCCCTTTGACTCTGACAGGAAGCCAGCGATGCGTGCGGTACTGTAGCTATCGTATTTTCCATTTTGAGCGCGCGCCACTGCTGCCGGACGGGTAAAGGGTCGACCTGTAAATGGGTTGGCACGAACCCGCTGGTTGCCGTAGTTGCCGAAACGTGATGGGCGTTGGGAGGCATTGGGTTGCGTCGTTGATGTTTGGCGGCCACCGAGGTGATCGCCACCACTGCGGTGGTTCGCAGCATCTGATAAGGGCACGTGAACGCACTTCAACTTTTGCAATTGAAAATGCAGCAGCCAAGGACCTCGCCACAGCTCTACGACTATGGAGAAGCGTGGCATGTCAAGAAGGACGCTTAGTAGAAACGGACACGCTGCTCACCTTTGCTGCGAGCTCTGAGCTGCGTTCGTCGTCGGCGCATATAAGTATCTTTGGCATAGAGGTGTTGCACACAAGGCAAATCCATACGGTGACCACTGAGACTGTGGTCCGCGTACGCTCGCAGGTTTTTACATCTGGTTGACGTTGTTCGGGGCAGGCGTAGACACACACAGCAGGCAGCTCTTCTCTCGTTCGACGTCGTCGTCTGGGTGCTGCTTCATCGTGGAGGATCGAGTGTGCTTTCAAGATGCAGAAATCACGTTCCGTTTCGAGTCGAGTCAATCTGGTCGGCGCCAGAAGCAAGTCGGAGGCACATATTTCGCACTCTGAGTATGACGTGGCAAACGCGCTTGAGTGGTTACCCAGAGTATCTTCCGTACGTGACGATGGTGGCCATCGCGGCCCCACCAAGACGCTCCAAGGATTCCTGGTCTGTTTATGGAACCTTGGGCGCTCGTCTGCAGAGTCCCTCGACTGTTAAATCACTTTTTTACGCAAAGTACATATACGAAGCACAGTCAGCGGAGAGTATCCTGGACGCGCTGCTGTGTTGAGAAAGCTGCAGGGATACGCCGAGTGCAACGAGGCAAGCCTTTGCACCTACCTTTCTCTTGTGTCGCGACTCAGCGTCAAAACCGCAAGGGACATCAGCTGGCGCTAGGGCTGAGGGTTCGCCCTTCGGGCGGCTTCCGTGACGCAAACAGCACATCGACGAGTGCCTTTCATCAACTTTGTATGACTGGCTCGGACCGGAGCAATCGCGATGGAACGCGAAGGACTGACGCCTACGAGCTTTGTCAATGGACACGGTGCAGAGCCGCTACCGCGCCATTTGTCTCGGCTGCCTATTTGGCGCACTGGGTAGTATCCCTCGAAGCGCTTGGAGGTACACCAACTCGCTGGCAGTATACTAGTACTGTCACTACTACAATGCACGGTACAATATGTATAGCCACTCGATGGTGCATTTGGAATTCATCTGAAAATTTGAAAGTTGGTGTTTCGGCTTCTCCGTTCAGCAGCGAGCGTTGGATTTGGCCTCACGCACCCCTGTAATTCTACAGCCTTGAATTTTCGCTATCGAGGGTTGAACCCATTGCATAATGTAGACGATTTGCGCATTCAAAACGAGTCTACGCTAGCAACTAGTAGTCACTGCCGCCACCAAAGAACGAGCCGCCTTTGCACACAAGGGAGCCCCACCACGTAGCGTTGGCCTTGACTTGCTCCATGCGGTCGCAGAGACGCTCGACGATCTCGCGCGTCACGACGCCGTTGCTCGTCGCTTGGTAGAACTGGATCGTCACGCGAATCGGGTACCGCGCGTCGCGGGTCACCTTGCTGAACTGGCTCAGCTTTGGGAACGGCCCGAGGGCGTCGCCGAGGCTCACCATGGCCTCTTCCACGTCGGGCCGCTCGAACGTCGACTCAAAACTACCCAATTCGCACTCTTCTTCTTCACAGTGGTAGCACGCCAAGTTGCTGTACTGGCGACGCGGCGGAGGCGGCTTTTGCTGGAGCGGAATTTGAACGATCATGACGTAGTTGCACGCCTCTTCGCGCGCCGTCATGGCGCCTTTCGATGTGACGCCCCGCTTGGCGCGGTGTGTCGACAAGCGCTCGGCCACAAACGTGTGCTTTTGACCCTGCTCATTGCTGTACAAGATCGCGTCGCGCTCCGTCATGACTTGAGCACTACTCGATCTACATCTGCAAACCGAAAATTGTGTCGCGTTGTACCTTGTGCCGGCGGCCGTGCACACCAAGACGAGCACGGCCGGGTCGTTCGCAGTCGACTGGTAGTTGTACAAGCCAACGTGGAACGCAGTGGTCTCATTCTCGATGGGCAAAAAGCTGGCTTGCGTGCTCACCTAATATGCCGTGGGCGATACATCAGCATGTACACTGTTATTACCACTGCGTGGTCGTCGTGGGCAGGCGCAAACAAGCTGTGCTCGAGCTCTGTGTACTTGGTGATGTTTTCGAGGTACTCTTGGAGCGAAATCGTGCTTCGGGGCGCGCTACTGTACGGCGACTCATTCCCGACCGTGACAAAGATCTTGCTGGTCGATATGCTCATGATCGGGTCTATACATTTGAAAAGTACCATGAGGAGCGTTGTGGAGGACGTTGTCTACCTGCAAAGTTGGGCACGCGGAGGACCGGCATGCGCGTCTTCTCGACGATGAGCGTCATGTCGGAGATGCAGGGGCCCCAGCAGCTGTTTTTACTGCGGGCGCAGTCTTCCCACGTCACGTTCATGAAGCTGAGACCGACGCTTTGGGCCCACGCTTGCGCCTGCGCGTCATGCACCATGCGAGCCACGCGCGCCTTCGCAGAGCGCGCGTCGTCGTCCTCGGAATACATGGAATCGTTGAAAAGCGTCGAGAGGCTCATGGTGGACGAGGTAGCGCAATCGAAAATGACCCTTGGCCGCTTTTGAATAACCCTCTTGGACGGACGCTGGGCCACGATCTTGCACAGCAGAATGAATGTATGGCTTCATGCATGAATAAGTGATGGTCGATCGCATCGTCGGTGGTTGTTGGCCCAATGCCTGTCGATCGATCTGTGCTTTTTCACGTGATACTCGTAGCTAGTTGGCTCGCCAGTCAGCTCGATGGGTGGATAGATCAAGATTTAATCGCACGTGCTAGCTCTCAGCCAAAAGCATTTGGCGCCAACGAATCGGTGGTGGTGTATCTTCCGGATATCATCCGGATGACTAGCATCGCCACGACGCTTCCTTTGAGTGTGGCAAGGACGCGCCTGGTGATTATTGGCGGTGACTGCATCTTGCTGCAGCACGCCAAACGTAGTTCCCGCATTTAAGAAGCCCGCCTGTTGAACTGGCGACATTAAACAAACCCGTAGATCGTTTGGTGTGCTGATGTAGCACTGCTTCCACGTGCAACCAAACCACGGATCCTTCCTCCGAGCCCGACGACTGAAGTACCTAGTGGTACACGTATTCTAGCGACGACCGACAGGGTCATGTGCTGCCGGTGGGCGACCTCGAGCTCGCAAGCCGTCATGGCTGCCGACGTTCCAACACATTGAGATCTTATCGCAGAGTACTAAACTTAGTGTACTAGTACCTGAGTCTTATTTTGGTCGAGCCTTTCGTAGAAACGACGCGTTCAACATCCCCATTTCGTGAATCACTCGATGAATCCGTCCGATCATGGTTTACGCGTCGTTGCAGCACTTACACGTTGGACTAGACTACTGACGAGCCTATCGGGGGGCCTTTGGCTTCATGCTGACGCCGCGGACGACGTTGACCGTCTCCGCCTTGATCGCCTTCGACTTTGTCTGGAGCGATTCGGTCTTGACCGGCTTCGTCTTGAACGCCTCGAGCTTGACCGACTGGGTGCGCGGCTGGCCAGAAACCTTGGCGGTTTTCGGGCTTCGTTTCTTGCGAGCCTTGGTCGTGCGTTGCGTTGAGAGCATCCCGCCGGGACGCGAAATCGAGCGGGTGCGAGGCCGGCCGGGAGTCACCGCGTACACAGACCCGCTGCGCGTCGCGGCAATATCGGCGCTGTGGGGTGTCGTGCACCGGACCGGTCGGGCGTTGACGACGGTGACGCGTGCCACCTCGCGCTGGCGGCGGCGGCGCACCTTGTCCGCGATCCACTTGTAGCGGATCTGAAGCTCGTACGGCGTCTTGTCTAGGTCGGGCGCAAGCATCGTCGCGATTCTGGCCCAGTCAAGACGACTGCCGGGCCGCGTGGACCGTTGGAACTCGCCGACGGCACCCAGGAGCGAGCGGAGGTCGCGCATCAGCCAGCCCGCCGGCGTGGACGGGAGCAAATCCACCTCCGCGAAGCAGTCGAGGACCGAGACGTTCATGCACGCTTATTTTGCAACTGGGCCGCGACAACGAGCGCTTGGCACCCTCGTCCCACCCGCCACGATCATGCGAACCACCGGATCGCGCCGGGTCCCAGCTCTGCCGACACCAATGCTTTCTCGCCCGCTGGCACGCGCGTGTCCAAGGCTGCGGGCTTGCGCATCGGCGCGAATAATTCTAGAGCACATCGCCAAGGTCGACCCCGCATCTCCTTGCCCCGGTGCTCGATCTATCAAGGTTTCAAGCCATTGGTCACGATCGAGTGGACGATCGTCTGTGCTTCGATCGTCATTGCTGTGGCGAGGTCGTTACGATGTTTCCCCGCCTCAACCGCACCCTCAAGTCGCCTCTCGCAATAAGATCGCAGCTGCGACGAAGCGATGCGGACGGCTGCATATGTATAGCCTTCGAGAAGCAAGTAGCTGCCCAACAAGGACCAACACAACCAGTGGGTGCTGGGATATATATAAGATTGTCATCGCGTCCCTAGTTAGTTCGACTCGAGGAGATCCGCGAGGCTCGCAGCGACCTTGTTGGCGTCCGGGCGCAGGGCCGGGTCGGCTTGCATGCAGTGGTTGGCGAGTCGGCGCAGCTTCTCAGGGCATGTGGCCGAAAACTTGGGCCGGAGCTGGCCCACAGCGACGCGCTGCACAATGACGCGCTCATCTAGATTGATGTCGCTGTACGGCACGTCGTGCGTGTCGAGCTCCGAGAGGAGCACGCCAAACGAGTAAATGTCGGCCTTTTCACTGTAGTCGTCGTTGAGCAGCACCTCGGGCGCGATCCAGCGCGCTGTCCCGACGTTGGACGTCATGGTTTCCTGGTACGACCGGAGGCGCGACTCGCCAAAGTCGCAGATCTTGGCGCCTTTCTGCGAGTCGACAAGGATATTCCGGGCCTTGATGTCGCGATGAATGAGCGGCGGGTTCTTCCCGTGCAAGTACGCCAAGCCCTTCGCGACGTGAAGTGCATACGTGCCCTTGTAGCTCGTCCAATCAAAGGTCGGCGACGGCTTCTTCTTCATGAGCATCTCGCGCAGATCCCCGAGGTCCATGTACTCGAGGACGACCGCGATTTCGTTGACCCGGTCGGTCACGACGCCAATCAGCTGGATGATGTGGGCGTGGCGCAGCGTCAAGAGCAAGTTCGCTTCCGCCACGAGGTTGCAGAGGGCCTCTTGGCGGTCGGTGTCCGGCGCAGTTTGCACCATCTTCTTGACCGCGACCACATCGCCGGCGTAGCTCGCGAGCCATACGACACCCTTTGCACCTTTTCCGAGCGTCCGCGTGTACACCATGTCGTTCTCGTCGAGCGTCGCGATCGCTGGGTTGAGCGCTGACTGGAGCACGATCGACGACCGCTGGTGCGTCTGGTTGCTCCGCGTCTGCAGCAGTAGGTCCTTGTAGACAGGCGAGTTGTTGCTCATGACGTTGTTGCTGCTGCCACGACCGCGCACGAGCGTCTTGCCGGGGTTGGTCGACGCCGACGACCCGCGCAGATCCACGTCCGTGGGCTGTCGCCGCCGGCTGCCGGGCAGCGGGTACGACGGTTCGAAATCGTTGAACGTTGTCTCGGGCACAGCGGATGCGGCCCGGCGCTTGCGGTACCAGAAGAAGCCGCCGATGGCAGCGAGCAGCACGGCCACGCCCGCCACGATACCGACGATGAGCCCGGTCGACGAGGACGAGGAGGCGCCGACGACGCAGATGCTGTTGCCTGACGTCGTTGTTGTCTGGAGCCCGGACGACGACGGGCAGCTGCCTGTGACGGCCGGGAGCTTGAGCGTCGCGATGCCATTGAGAACTGCAAACTGCTCTTTGGAGACCGCCCCCGAGAGCGGGTTGCCATCAAGGTTCCTACACCAGGACGGTGATTAGGGGTCGTGTCGACAGGTCGTCGCGTACAGGCTGGCGAGGCCCGAGAGGCTGTAGACCGCACTCGGAATGGTCGTGAATTGATTGTTGGAGAGATCGCTACGTCAAATTATGTCGTGAGCAAGTGCGTCCAGATTCGACGGAAGTACAGAGCTTGGAGGTTCTTGAGCTGCAATTCAAAGGTCGAGAGCGCGTTGCGACTCAGGTCCCTAGCGCCAGATATGAAGAGCGTGCAATAAGCTGTCGGTGGGTACAAGTTTTTGAGATTGGCGAGCTTCTCGTACGGCGACGAGCCAATAGCGGGCAGCTTCTCGAGCTTGTTGTTGGGGAGGGCGAGGACCGCGAGCGACGACGACAGCGCCCACGCAGGGACCGCTGTGAGCTGGCAGTTTGCTATGGTCACGTCCGTCACGGTTGCCGGCACGGTCGGGTACGAGCTCATGAGGTTGAGGCCATCGAGCGCGCTATGCACACGTCGTCATGAGCCTTCGTCGCGTTGCGCCAACGTACATTGCCGAGACGGAGCTTCCCAAGAAGGCAGTGTCCCAGGACGAGATGATCTTGAGCGGATTGCCGCCCACGCCGGCGTTCGGGCCACCGCTGACCTTGACCGTGCTACAGGTGTGGTGACGTTGGTGCTGGCAGGCGACTGCGACCGTACCTCACGCTGCTCGGAACGGTGTAGTTCTTGATGAGCCCGAGGGGCCCGTAGCCGCCATTGTCGGTGGTCTTTGGGTCGTTCTTGTACGTAAACTGCCACACGCCGTTCGAGATGGCGCTCGGGTAGCACTGGTATGGGCAGTCGCCGGCCGGCGTGACGCAGACGCCGCCACGCACGGGCGCGCACGTCGACGCTGTCGAGTAGCGCAGGCAGGGTACGCCCGCGTCGCAGGCCGCGCAGGTCGTCATGACGTTGTCGGACGCGCAGGACATGCTCAAGCTGGCGCTGGCTCTGGTCTCGAAAAATGATGATGGGTCGGCTGGCCCGTCTTTTGCGCGCTTGGCGGGAATATATTCCAATATATAACCAGTCCCATACATAAACACTATCAAATTGCCAATGTGAATATATATTGCCATGGAAATATTGAATATTCGAAGCACACGACCACTGGCGCCGCCTCGTCCGACGACACGCGCTCGACCTGGACCCTTGGAGATGCACGCATCGAAGCGAGGGTCGCTCGTCGACCGCTCAAGGACCAGCACCGACGTTGCTTGCCGGACGAGCGATTCATTCCGGTGTGGTTATGAATCCATGCTGAATCCATGACGTGGATATTTGTCGCCCACGTTGGTCACACGCGCGGGAATCAGGCTTCGTAACCGTCCATACTACGCAGTGTATGGATCCGTGGTCGCAACCTTGCACTGGTCTTCACATGCGCGTACCTCGCGGCGCTGGGCATGCGACTTGTCCAGACAGCGCGGCGAGGTCGTCCTTGTACGGGGCTTGCACGTAGCGACGTCTGATAGCGAGTGCTATTTTTCTCGAATTTAATTGAATTTATTGCAGTGGGTAATTGGGGTTTTTGTATAGGGCCGTTTGGACTTGCTGTCTCCATGCAGCTAGACGTGTCCAACGCCTGCATTCCCAGTGCAAGGACGGACCTGTGCAGTGCAATTGCAGCTGATCAACGCCCCGAGATTACGAAGGACGCAGCTTGCATGAAGCTACTTGGTCTATATCATACACTATTTCCGTTTCACACCGTGTGAACGACGTGGGATTTAATTTTTTGGTGTGCGTATCATGTGTGTTGGTGGGATGCGATGGAAAACACACGTTGTGGGAGCATAAAATAGTGAGTGTGTATAAATAGTGTGATATCCCGGTGCTCAGAACCAGCGCTGGAAGAGGCTGCGCCACTTGCCACCGCCGACCATCGGCTGCTTGAGCTTGGTTGCCACCTTCTTTGGCTTCTTGGCCTTGCCGCGGCTCTGCATCGGCGGCGGCGGCGGGACCTCCGGGCGGTCCATCGTGTCAAGGTACCGCTTGACCTGCGCGATGGTCGCGCGCTTGCTTGGATGCACGAGGAGCATCGACTGGAGGAGGTCGAGGATCGCATGCGAGATGAGGTGTTCCATGTGCCACATGCCCACGATGGCCTCGACGCCATATTCGTGCAGAATCGTGAACCGCCGATCGCTGTCGCTCGGCACGTCGACAAGGGGCACGCCCGAGAGCATGATGAAGAGCATCATGCCAAGCGACCACACGTCGGCGAGCGCCGGGTCGTAGACGTCGCCCGCGTGCACTTCGGGCGCCATGTAGTTGAGCTTCCCGACCGTCTCGGTGGCCACGCCCGGCAGCGGCACGGCGAGGCCAAAGTCGCAGACCTTGCACACATTGTCTTTGGTCAAGAGAACGTTCTCGAGCGAGAGGTCGCGGTGCGCGTAGCCATGGCGGTGCATGTGGTGCACGCCGGCTACGATCTGGCGAAAGTAGTGCAAGGCGCGGAGCTCGCTGAAGCGACCGCCCTTGGCGTGCTTGAGCGCGTCAAAGAGCTCGCCGTTCGCGCAGTACTCGAAGACAAAGTGTTGGAAGCCGTCGACCTCAAAGTGGTCGTCCATGGCCACGAGGTTGCGGTGGCGGTGCTTCTGCAGCACGAGGTTGACGTGCTTCTCGGCCTCGATCTCGTCGCGCACGCTCATCTCGTCGAGGTCGTCGAGGTCCGACGGCCGCGTGCCCGAGATGGAGAGGTCGACGCGCTTGACCGCGGCGCGCCCACCTTTCTCGTTGCGACAGAGCAGCACTTGGCCGTACAGCGCCTTGGCAATCACGCCTTCGACAAAGTAATTCGACTTGGTCATCTCAAGGCAACTTGCTCTTTGACGCTCGGCGTCGATGGCCGACCGATCACGCGTCCCACTGTTGTGCACTGCCTTGATCTGAGGCGCAAAATTCCACCGTGGGACCGCCACCCAGAACACTGACCTCATCAGGTCGCATCAACGACGAAGACGACCTCCTTCTCCTTCTCTGGTTCTCCGACGGTGCGACCGACGGCTGCGATATTTGACCAGGCACCGCGGTCGCCGCACGCGCGGGTGGCGCGAGCTGGCGGTGCGTGAGGTTGGCATCGCCAAGGTGGTCGAAGGCAACGCACCTGGTTGCAGTGGACTGTGACTGGCCACTAGCACCCACGCGCTGGGCTCAGCAGCTGACGACACGCCGCAACGACAGAGTACATGATGATGATGATGGCTGCGAACATGGCCATGGCACGCGCCCATTGACGGTCGTCATGTCTTCGCCGACGTTGTGGGTGCCATGTCGCTGCCGTAATCGTGTTGGCGTGATGCGCTCGCCGAGGGTCATCGCCATGCAGTGTGCAGCTGGAAGAAGCCTCGCGACGTCCACTGCGGACAGAGAAGAAGAAAAAAGCAACACGTTCGAAAAGGCTCGACCAGATGGCGCCACCACGTCATCCTGGTCGCCACCGTGGTCGGCTACATAGTGGATGCGAGGAAGGGGCACTGCGGATGGCGTCGTGCGTCCGACGCTACCAAGGTGCTCTGCTGCCTCGTGGACGCACGCCATCGCCTTGTACTACGAGCGCTTGTCCTTCAACGACGCTGGCGCAGAGACACGATCGTCGGGCCAGTCGTCGGGCCAGCGCGTGCCGCATCCGCCCACATAATATCTGCTCTGCACCGTCTCGGTCCCTCACGAGATCGATGGGCACGCGACGCGAACGAGCTAGAAAGGCCAGCTAAAACTCGCACTTTGGCGGCTAACGACTACACACAGCCGCCAGAGTTGCGCTGCCTGCGAGCCGTCGATGCGCATCGAGCGAGATGCTGCTTGGAGCGTGGTGATGCCTGAGCGCCGGAGAACGGGCAGGCGGAGACCTTGAGCGGTTGGGCGCGTTAGCTATAAATACGCTTTGCACGATCGAAGGGCGTGGCGAACGTCCATTTCTGCAATGGCCGACGCGCTGCCGACGGAGACGACGCCGATGGGCCGGCGGGCGTCGTACTCACCGAGCCACGTGCTGTCGCCCGCGCGGCGCCACCGCCGGTCCATGTCCACCGACAGCAGCGACTCGGGCGTCTTGGACGCGCCGTCGAGCGCCGACAACATCCGCGCATTTGTCCGCATCCAGCCCACGACCGACGACGCCCCAAGCTGCGTCGAGGTAGCCGTCGACGCAACGGTGCTGAGTGTGTCCAAGGCCAACGGAAGTGACGTCAAGGCATTCACTGTCGACGGCGTCGTCCAGGCCAGTGCATCGCAGGCCGACGTGTACGAGGCTGTGGGCGCCGCCTTTGTGGCCCATGCGCTCGCCGGCTACAATGGCTGCCTCTTTGCATACGGCCAAACTGGCTCGGGCAAGACGTACACGATGGAGGTGCGCGACCATGCGCGCCACGAGAAACATCGCTGACAGCGGTAACTAGGGCGAGAGCACGCACGGCGAGACCCGCGGCGTCGTGCCCCGTATCCTCGAGGCGCTCTTCGCCCAGCTCTCGGTACGCTGCCATGGCAGCAGCGCACGTGCGTACTCGGCTCGTAGGCGCCGTTCGAGTGTCGCTGCTCGTATCTCGAGATTTACAACGAGCGCATCTACGACCTCCTCGACGACGACGTCACGGTTGACGCCAAGCTCCTCCGGGAAGACAGCCAGCAAAACGTATTTGTCCAAGACTTGCTCGAACTTCCCGTGACGTCATCGAGCTCGGCGCTGCAGCTGCTGGCGCTCGGCGGTCGCAACCGCACCGTGGGCAGCACGGCTATGAACCGCGAGAGCTCGCGGTCGCACTCGGTATTTACGATCAAGCTCACGCAGACGACACGGGACGGCGCTCGCCTCAAATCGATCTTGCATCTCGTCGACCTCGCCGGCTCGGAAAAGCAGAGCCAGACCGGCGCGACCGGCGTGCGTCTCAAAGAGGTACGCATTCAAAGTTTCAAAGTATCAATCTTTCAAGTGGGTAGGCGTCGCAGATCAACAAGTCGCTCTCAGTGCTCGGCAACGTCATCACGGCGCTCGTCGATGTCTCGAGCGGCCGACGCCGGCACGTGCACTACCGCGACTCGAAGCTCACTTTCCTCTTACGGGACGCCCTTGGCGGCAACTCCAAGACGACAGTCGTCGCAACGATCTCTGCGCACGAGCGCTGGCTGCCCGAGACGGTCTCCACATTGCAGTTTGTGCAGCGCGTCAAGTACATCAAGAACCACGCGGTTCAATTCGAGGACGACGCGGCGCTGATCGCGCGTCTCGAGAAGCAAGTGGCGGCGCTCACGGCGCGCCTCGACGACCGCGTCGACGAGCCAGAAAAGGACGTCGAGCCTCCGGCCGTCGTAGCCGCGTACGAAGAACAGATCGCCGACCTTGAACGACAGCTCGCTGACGCGACCAAAGACAGTCGGTGGATCGAAGATCTGCACAAGCTCAAGCGCGAGGTGGCAGCGAAGGAAGCCATCATTACTGCCAAAGACAAGGAGATCTATGCCATCAAAGTCCGTCGAACCTGCTGCGTCTCCGTTTGATAAGCTCACGCCACGTGTAGGACACGCTTGGCAAGATCGTCCAGGACACGGAAATCATACTGGAGGAGCGCAATGCACTACTGGTCCAGGCAGCAGCCTTTGAAGCACAGAAGCGAGCGATGGACGCCGAGCTCGCCAAAGTCGCAAGAGCACTGATGGAGGCCCAGGACGCGTTGGACGGCAGAGAGAAGGCGTCGTTCACGCTGCAGGAGATCATTGCCGACCTTCAGACGCAGCTCGAGCACAAGACCAAGCCACGCCGCATGAGTCTCCGGCGCCTGTTTTCGACCAGAAAACCCGACAAACTTGCCAATATCATTTAACATTTAACGTTGGTCGATGGTATTCTGGTGCATCTCGCAGTTGTACACAATCTGCTATTATAGTTAAAAGGTATATACACCTTATTGTCTACGGCTAGTGTGGGTTGTGTGGACCGTTTCAACTTCGGATGCCTACTTCGAGCGTTACATTTCACATATAAATGCCAAGACGTTGTGCAACCGTCTGGCTTCGAACTTCGCCTCGACGATCGCACGCATGGCTCACTTGCGCAGTGGCATGGACGTAGCACCGCCATCGCCGCGATGGAAGGCCAAGTACGGTGCTTCGCTATGGCACTGCGAGGGCTCATGGGCTCTTCTCTGTAGCAAGCTCTTGTCGCCATCCCGCCTTCCCAAGCCCACCAGCGTCGTCGTCGTACCACGCGATCGCGTGCCCGCCCTCGCCAGCGACATTGAGCGCAAGCTCGAGCGCCAAGCGAGCTGTCTCGCCGACGCGCCGCCGCTCGGCGAGACCATTCGCTGCATGGTGCGCATTCGGCCGTCGGCGAGCGACCGGCGCTGCGTCGATGTCGACCTGCCAACGCAGTCGGTCAGCGTCAACATGCATATGCTCAAGACCGACCGGCGCCGGTATGCGGTCGACGGCGTCTTTCCCGAGGCAGCGACGCAAGAAGAGATCTTTCTCAAGGTGGGCCTGCCCGTCGTGGCGACTGTTCTCCTCGGCTTTCACGGCTGCGTCCTCGCGTACGGCCAAACGGGCTCGGGCAAAACGCACACCATGCAAGTACGCTACCAAGGATGTTGCATCTTTGCCGCATCGCCAAGACATAGGGCGACATGGACCCGAGTAGCGACGAGCGCGGCCTCATTCCGCGCGTTGTCCAGCAGCTTTTTGCGTCCCTCTCGGCGTCCCAGGTTCGTTCCTTGAGCTTGGGTCTTCTCTTCACGGCCATGGTAGACGCCCTTTACATGCCACTGCTCGTACTTTGAGATTTACAACGAGAAGATCTTCGACCTCCTCGACACGTCAGCGACCGAGCCCAAGGCCGTGCGAGAAGACAACACCGGAGTCTATGTCCAGGACATCCTCGAAAGCCACGTGACGACGCCCGAGGACGCGCTGCGCTTGCTACATCTTGGCACCAAGCAGCGCACCGTGGGCAGCACGGCCATGAACCGAGAGAGCTCGAGGTCGCACTCGGTGTTTACGCTTCATTTGACACAAACCCTTCCGACGGCCGACGGCCTTTCTGTCGTTCGGCGATCGCTACTGCACCTTGTCGATCTCGCGGGCTCAGAGAAGCAGAGTCACACGCGGGCGTTTGGGTTGCGTCTCAAAGAAGTAGGAGCTATAGTTTATGAACAACATTGTTTATTGATGATTAGGCGTCGCAGATCAACAAGTCGCTCTCGGTGCTCGGCAATGTCATCACGGCGCTTGTCGATGTCTCGCGCGGCGTCAAGCGCCATGTCAACTACCGTGACTCGAAGCTCACGTTCCTACTGCGGGACGCCCTTGGCGGCAACTCCAAGACGACGCTGCTCGCCACGATTGCGCCGGACGAAGCGTTTACCACCGAGACGCTCTCGACTTTGCAGTTTGTTCAGCGCGCCAAGTGCATCACGACCGCCGCCGTTGCCAACGAGGACACGGGCAACACATTGGCAGTGCTGCAGCGCGACCTCGCCGACGCGCGGTCGAAACTCGCGCGCCTCGACGCAGAGCACACGGCCACAGAGCGCGAGATGAGCTGCCGCCTCGACGCACTCTTGAGCGACAAGTTCGCGCTCAAGAGCGACAACGCACGGCTGCAACGGTCGGCCGCCGCGGCAAGCGAGGAGGTCGCGCGCTGGCGCCTCGCTTCCGAAGACAATGGACGCACTGCACACGAGACACATGACCCTTGCGAGACCGAGGGTAGCTCCAAGCAAGACGCGACCTGTCGCCTGCCCTTGGAAAACGAGCAGCTTCGGATGGCGCTTGAGGAAGCCGCGACCCACCGGGTATCGCTCGTTGCTGTAGCGCGCTCGGAGGCGCATGGACATGACGTTGTCGTATCGCAGCTCCAAGCCCGTCTCCAAGCACGTGATGTAGCGTACGAGGAGCTGGAGCGCGAGCTCGCGGCGGCGCGGCATCGTCTTGCATCCAGCGAGGCCACCGCAGCCGCCGAACGCGAGCGTCAAAACGACGCCTTGCGCGAGCAGACGGCGGCTGCGAGCGCACTGCACAACCAGCTACAGCTGCTGCAGTCACGGCCAAGTACGTGCCATCGCATTCAAGAAGAGAGCGTGCCCTTTGTTCCGGTACATCGAACCCTACCCACATTCGCACCCTAACCCTTGCTCCGATCGCAGAGCCCGCGGCGCCACCGCCGGTCCGAAAGCGACGTGTCGGAGGACATTCGCTTGGTACGGAGCATGTTTTCCGATGTGTGCTCAAGGTGGCGTAGGCGGTCACCTCGTTCAACGCCGCGTCGCGGCCATCGACGCTCGAGAACGCGGTGGCCGACCTCCAACTGCAGCACCAGCAGATGCTGCATTTATTGCAAAAGCTCGACAGTTTGCGCCAGTCCAAGAAGTTTCTCGAGCACGCACTGCAGAACGCGCTGGCGGACAACGCCGAGCTCATTGCCAGCGCCAACACCTTGCAGGTACGCGACGTCGCTCGTCGTTTCCGTCACAGTGGGATTGTAGAGAGAGCGGGACGCTGCCCGTGCGAGCACCGCCGCCGCAGAGCGTTACCGCTTGGAGCTTGAGCGCGACAAGACGCTGGCCCGAACGGCATCGGCCCCCGCCATCACGACGACCCTGCATGGGTTCTCCAAGGTGTGCACGTCGTGTCCACGGGTGGTTGATGGCAGCCTGTAGCTGGACGTTGCGGACCAAATCAAGACACTCGCAGCAGACAAGGTCGCGCTGAGTGCGCGTCTCAAGACGGCGTATGCCAAGGTGCAGTCGCTCGAAGAGTCGCTGCAGCAGCTACGGTACGCAATATATAAGAGAGTGCGCTCACAGACATGTAGAACGTCGGACCCGTGGGCGAGCGTACGACGCCCATTTGGCATCGACGTCCCCACCACCTCTGCCTGGCCTGTAGGTGTACACGCGTCTTGCGCAAGAGGTGTTGACTGTGGTTGCCGACAGTGGTGCCTCGTCCGCCCCATCAACAGTA